AAATGGAGCATATTGGCAGTTGGCTACCTTATAAATTAAAAGAGAATGAATCAGTCCTTCAACAAGAAAGCAAGTAAGACCATTCTGAACCATTCATTCGTGTATCATTCTTCCCTAATTTAGTGTAGTATATTAACAGCTTTGTTTATGATACTTCATTCAGTTTTCTGTATTCAAGCAAACTGAAATTAAATATTTTCCTTAGCAAATAAATACAGACACCATTAGATTATATTTCCTTATCATTTAATGTCATGATTCAGGTCAAAATTGATAATTGAATTTACATCTTAATAAAACACCTTATTTTCACTTACCTTTTAGATAGTAAATTTTGATTCTATGGTTATTTCCACATCAGAGACAGAAGTTAAACTTGCAAGATAGTAATTAGCAAACGGCTTTTGACAGAAGCTTTGAGTAGAATATATGTTGTTCTAGTTTTCTGAAACACTTGCGGCAACTCAGCCATGATGTCAGGAAACATCCTTTTTCCTTTTTTTTTTCCTCTGCATCTCTGATATTTGTCATTGGGTCAGTGAGTAAGCTTCCTTATCAAATGTTTTAAGGCGTGATATCATGTGACTAAGTTTCTTTATCTTTACAGATGGCTCTCTTTCTAAAGTATCCTGTTCTTAAACAGTCTTCTCTACTTTGATTAGACTTAAGAGTGTGATTCTGTGATTCATTTGTGTCTGTTATTGGCCTGGCTTCTTTCTGGTGCTGTTTAATTACACACCTGTAGAGTTGTACATTTATAAAAGGTGTTCATATTCATGTGTTTTGTTTTCCTGTACTGGGAACTTTGGAACAGCACATTTTTTAGGCTTTCCCCACTTCCCACCCAACTCACTTCCTTTCCCCATTACTAAACAGCTCCCTCCCCTAAACACTGAGAGGACAGATCTGTTCAGCTGAGGCAGGTCAGTGCTGAAGCAAAACAACACCTGGATGGAGGGAACAGGAAGATGAAGAGAAGGTTCTCGCATGGCTGTAAATGGAACCACATGGCTGTACTTTAAGGCCAGCATGGCAGCATCTGATTTTGCAGGTGGTCCCTGACTACACTTGGGTTCCTTTGTTCTTACAGATTGATTCCACAGTAAGTCAAGGGATAAGAAGTCTTTTAGAAAAATTGTTACAACTGTTTTGCCAGTCTTAGTGTCGTGTGAGGGTTCTTTGGGACAGAATGTCTCAAGGTCCTCGGATTTGTAAGGTGTTCTTTTTTCCTCAGTCTGTCCATATGTAAGCCATGGTTTTTACAGTCTCACTGCTTGTTAGGTTGGACAGATACTTTTCCCTTTTCCAAATCTGTAGATGTTTTACATTGTTTGCAACTGAAAAAAAAATCCCAAAGGGACATCTAAAAGTATTTGGGAAATTTGAAGAAATATAAAGGATTCCAGTGTCATAAGTTTGTGGTATAATTCAACAGGGAATGCGTGTGACATTCAGACTATTTTAACTTCAAAGGGCAGATGTGGAAAGATGAAAAAATCTTGCTTTAATGTAGTGGTATATGAGACGCTGCAGTCCAAACTGTGTGTCGTTGCTGTGCTGTCCGGGGCTGTACACTTTGATATTTCTCCCTCCCACACAAGTTGGCACGATGAGCATATGCTTTCAGTAGCACTGGAATGACTTTTTTCTTTTCCTATCTTCTTCCTTCTGTAACTACAGGATTGCCATGAGAAGATTCGTGTTCTCTCCCAGCAAGCAGCCGCTGTTGTGAAACAGGAAGGGGGTGATAATGACTTAATTGTCCGTGTCCGTGCTGATCCTTACTTCAGCCCTATCCATAAACAACTTGAAAGCCTGTTGGATCCCTCCTCCTTCACTGGACGTGCTCCTCAACAGGTAAAGTAGTGGAAAGAGGCTATGGGTGCTATGCATTGTAATGGAGTCTGTTGTTTCATCCTGCATCCTTTCGTATGCCAGAGAGTGGACATACTGTGTAACTCTGCCCATATTACAAAGGCAGGCATCTTTCTCTCTCTTGATTCCCTTGGCTTTCTCGTCTTGCTTTTCTGTGGGCTTCACATTTTTGACCCAGGATGTATCAGTGTTGGGTGTCTTTGGGAAAGAGAGACTCTGGTGGAACAAGCAGGTCTGAATGGGGAGGAGAAGGCAAGCCCTTTTCCAAATTTTGTTTCTTATCTTTCTTGAACAGGTGGCAAAATTCCTGAAGGAGGAAGTTCGACCAGCACTGATTCCATACCAAAGCAAGATGGGTGGGAAAATTGACCTGGCACTTTAGGTATAGTCTGCAAAGGTGTGTGGGTACAAGAAAATAATAAAAGCCTTATTGACCCAGATCTGTTTACTGTGTCATGCTATTTTGGTTCTCTGCAGTGCATTTAACCCCCAGAGTTTACAGCCACCTTGATTCCAGATGGGCTTTTCGTTCTTTGTCTGCTGTTTAATCAAGCCTCCATTTATAGTGTGCTGGGTTATTGAGAAACACTTGATTGTGACAAGGTAACTTTATCATAGCACACTTTATCATTGGCCCCTTATAGAAGCAATACCAGCTATCAAAGAGCAATGCCGGGTGCTGCCTGACAAATCATATTTGCAGGTTTGAATTAGCAACCAGCCATTGTGATTTGGCTATGACTGTGGTCCTTGGCCACAATCCTTGTGGTCCGTGGTCACCTTGTAGGTGATTGATACTGAATGGTAGGTGGACTCTAACATGTGAAAGTTGATCTCTACTACAAGTAAGTCTTTTCTGGTAAAGAAAGAAAAAAGATGCTGGGATTCATTGGGTGCCAGAGAAATTCAAGAGCTTTGATTTTATTTCTGACATGAAAGTTCTAATTTGTAATGTCTGTGCTTTACTGGCCATTCAGTATTGGACCAAACTCTTCTCCCTTTGACTTAAACTGGAATGGTTCCCTTACCTCTTCCTCCAGTGTTATTACCTCACAGACCATTTCTTCTGCGTCAGTGTAATAAAAAGCTCCCTCTTTTATAAATGCCTCTTATTTATTCAGATTCTCAGAGATGACATGACTGGGATTACTTGATGATTTTTGAAACGTGGTTGCTGGAAAGAATTAAGAAAAGCAGAACTAATTGAAAGAACCTACCTGCTGTCCTTGAGGCCATGATTGTTTAAAGATGATTTCAAAATACAGTTTTAATGAGGCTTGTCTATGTTAAGTAGTCAGAGCAGTGGGAAGCTTCAGGCCATGATTTCCCTTCATTGAGATTTCTGTGGCTTTACCTTGCCCCTAGATTATGGCATTCAAAATGTCTCAAACATTTCTGAGTTTTATGGTGTTTAAAACATTTTGCCTGCTTGTGCTATTAACACTTAATTAGCCATCTGTTTGAAAAGGATAACTAATTGAACACTGGTAATTTTCAGGCTATTACTCAAATGGATAGCCAAGAAAGAAAACGGACATATGCAGAAGTCTTCCTTTTTTGGTCCTCTTTCCTCCATAAAAAAAAAAAAGAAACTGTGCAGGGAAGAGGATCAGCTAATGTACCTTTTCTTGTCATCTGGAAATAAATCTTTGTGCTAGGCCGAGGCTGCCAGCTGTGAACTATTGGACTTGTTTTCCTAGAAAGTTTTGAACAAATAACAATGGCACAGAGGAAATGTCACCCTCCTAGAAAACTGGCACAATCCTTTAAGAGACTTCTACTCCTTAGTTTATGACCTGTCTTCTTTCTGGCGGCGTTTGCACTGACACCAGCCAAAGATGTAGTTCCCCCCTCTCCTTGGTTGGTGGGAACAGGTCACCACCAAGCAGTGCTTCAGGAGCAGCTCTTGACTGAGCAGCTCTTGATTCTCCTCCTGTACTCAGCACTGGCAAGGCCACACCTTGAGTGCTATGGCCAGTTCTAGGTCCCTAAATTCAGGAAGGACATTGAGGTGCTGGAGTGGGTCCAGAGAAGGGCAGCAAAGCTGGTGAAGGGTTTGGAGCACAAGTCTGATGAGGAGCAGCTGAGGGAGCTGGGGCTGCTTAGTCTGGAGAAAAGGAGACCTTATTGCTTTCTACAACGACCTGAAAGGAGGTTGTAGCCAGGTGGGTGTTGGCCTCTTCTCCCAGACAACTAGGGGCAGGATGAGAGGACATGATCTTAAGCTGCACCAGGGGAGGTTTAGGTTGGACCTTAAGATTAATTTCTTCACAGAAAGGGTGATTAGACACTGGAATAGGCTGCCCAGGGAGGTGGTGGAGTCACTGTCCCTGGAGGTGTTTAAGGAAAGGCTGGACGTGGCACTGAGTGGCATGGTGGTGTTCGGTCATAGGTTGGACTCGATGATCTCAGAGGTCTTTTCCAGCCTAATTGATCCTGTGATTCTGTGACTAATCCCGCTTCTGGATGGTTCTGCCCTGTGTTCCTGCAGCCCGTGCCTGTGACACTGGCGCTCTGCTGGCGGCGCCTGGGTCTGTGCGCTGCTTGGAGGGGCGATTCCCCCGGCCCCGAGCGATGGGTGAGCGCCAGCATCCCGGCGCCTGCCCACGCGTTCCCGACCGCGCTTCCCGGCCTACAGCCCCCAGCGCGCCCCGCGCCGCCGCCCGGATCCCGCGCATGCGCCTGCTGAGCGGCGTGCGGGGCCGCCGGGTCGGGGCCGGCGCCCGCCCTGAGGGGAGCGCGGCGGCAGCAGGTGGGTGCGGGGCCGGGGTCGGCGCTGCGCGGGGAGGGGGCTCAGCCCGCGGGCCACCCCTCGCCCTCCAGGGCTGCCAGCCCTGCGCCTGCCGCCGCGCCGGGGGGGCTCCCCAGGAGCCGTCGAGCCACCTTGTCAGGCCCCCCGCGCACACCTCTCCCCCAGCACCCCCTCCCTGCCCTGCTCCCCGCCCGGGCGGCCCCGCTGCCGGGGCTGTGTGTGGGGCAGGGGCTGTGCGGCCGCGGCGCCGCTCGCCGGGCCCGGGCCGGGGGAAGGCAGGGACCCTCATCCCCGGGGAGGCTCCCGCGCACCTGCTGCGCTGACGCAGGGTCTGGCTCCGCCAGTGACTCATGCTGTGCACGGCTTCGCCGCCGAGCTGCCGGGGCACGTTCTCCCTGCGCTGCCGGCGCCCCTTCTCCGGGCTGGGCTCTCCCCTGCTCCCCGGGACGTGCCTCTGCCCTCACCCGCCTCTTCTCCTGCCTGTGACTGCGACTCCCGGCGATCTCTGGTTCGTCCTGCTCTGCCATACTCATTTGCTCTCCACGCGTGCACCTTTTCGGAGGTGTGCCCCGGAGGAGAGACAGTCTGTCTCCTGTCTGGCTGGGGGGAAGGAACGGTTACGGAACTGAGATGGAAATATGGCAGTATCCTCTAGGCAATGGGCACAAATAGACGTGCTGCAGGCCCCGTGATTGTCAGCTGTAATAAATGTCAGGAAGACGGGAGACAGATGTAATTCTCTTACCTGGTGATGCAAATTCAAGGGAGTGAAGAACCGCTGTCACACGGATTTAAATCTCATTGCAGGCAGTGGCTGTGGACTCCGGGACAGCTGTTTGGTGTCTCTTCACAGATCTGGTAAGGGTGGGACAGGAAAAATTTCCTCCCTGTATCTGCTTTGCTTCCTTCCTAATTTTTTGAGGGATGTCTGAATTTAAGCAGGTACTTTCCTTCTAAACAAGTAGATTTCAGTGTTGGAGGGGTTATGTGATGTCATAGCTTCCTACTTCATGATGTCTCAAGCCCTACTCTTCACGGCTTGCTGTGATTTTTTTGGGGGAGGGAAGGATAAAGTAGTAACAGTGCCTTCAGGAAATGAGGGATCCTTTTGTGCAAATAGATGGGAGAGAGAAGTAGTCTTGCTGGAATTACAATCAGTGTTTTTTTAGTAGTGCAAGACTGGATCGTGAAATCACTCAAGAAGGAGCTGCCAGCCTGGCAGGAGTGGGCAACTGCTGTGCTTTTGCTGAGCTGTTGATCAGAATACAGTTGCTTGCTGGATAATCTAAATTCTAGATTAGTTTTTTAGCTGCTACAGTGTCTGGAGTGGTGGCCTGAAAAGAAAAAGCCACTGGAATAAAAATCAATTTCATTATGTATTTCTAGATCTGCACACTGTGTGTGTAGCTTTCCCTGCGCAGAAACAAGGGTTGGATTCCTACTCTGGAGAATTCACAAAGTAAAAGGGAAGGAAGGGGGTGGGAAGAGGCATGACATGTAATTAAAGAGGTCAGGGTGGGGAATACTTGTGTCATGTTAATACAAAGTTATGTTAATTCTGTATTTAACAGATTAAAATGACAAATACTTCCTTTCTCAATTCCTTTTACGATGACATTTTAATAACGTGGCTTGGTATTCTCAGGGAGATGTCATTCATAGTGACTGTTCCTCTGAAGAAGGGTGAAGGGAATCTGTGAGGGTCAGCAGAGAGGAGGGGCATATTTCTGGAGGAATTGCACTGGTCAGGCGATGATAGAGTCAAAGTGAGGAAAGTACTGCACACCTGCTCAGGACTGAAATAATTCTCCAGTTTTGGGGTCCCTGCTAATGTAATTTAGATTTTTCTTCTTTGCTGTGCTTTTAACCTGTCACTATCTTTCCTGCAAGATGAGATCTTTTGCTAATGTCAGTGTTCTAAAGGACCTTGACATTCTTAACAGATGGACAATAATCAAAATGTTAAGCCTTTAAAAATCTATTTCTCTCACCAGAGGTGGCGGTGACAGTAGAGGTTATTGATTAAGGGATCTGTGTGAAATGGGCGGCCAGTCTCAGTCCCATTCTTAGTGAATTGGTTTGAATGTTGCAGGATTGTTTCCCATGTTTGGTATTTGGGATGCTTTAACAAAGGAGTCGATGAGTTCACCCCTCCTGAGGTAGTAACTGTTTTGGAAATGGTCGGGATGATGTCTCTTCCTGACTGTCAATTGCAAACTTCTCACCAACACATAAGAAGCAAAGAAAACTTTTAAAAAATAAATCCTAAGAAGTATTGCAACTTTCTCTGCAGTGGTAAAGGTAAGGCGCCTTATATTTTGGTGTACATGGTTCTACAGCTCTTCTAGCTAAATCAGCAGTGATCCTAGTTGGTGATCTGTATCACAGTGGGTGTCCTGGCTCCTATCCTAGCTCAAATGGATAGGATACAGAGATTTTGCAACTGTCAGGTAGGATGAGGTAAACAAATTGCTTCATTCTGTGTTGTGAATGCAGTGTCCCAAGTGTCCCTCAAGGGACGGAGAGGTGTTGGCACGTCAGGTTTGTGTCCTCAGCCACACAAAGACTTGCTTAAACTTCTTTCTATGCCACCTTTCATCACAGGGTCTAGGTTTTAAATACATAAAGCTTACACAGGGGTAAGTATGTGGGAGCACTGGGGAAAATCTCACTTGTCAGCTGTGTTGCTGTTGACACTAGGTAGGAAAGAGGAGGATGTTGTCCTGCCACATTTGTTTTGTCTCTGAGGAAGCCTCAGCTTTTCTTAAACTGGAATGCAACAAGGTATATTGGTAATAGAGCAATTTTGTTTCTGTCTTAAGAAAATCACCCTCATGGCTGGGCTTCACGAACGAAGATTTGGGAAAATCACCCTAGGAGAAATGAAAACACACTTGTTTTATGAGATAGGTGAAAAAAAAATAGTATATTGCTATAAGGATGACTACAAGAACTTTGTTACTGCCCAGACAGTGCAGTATTTCTTGTCTGGGAAGTATTTGATGATTCAGAGATGAAAGAAAGTGTCCGTAACCTGACAGCCTTTCTTTTTCTGGAGAAGAAGTCTTCCTGATCCCCAGAATCAGGAAATATCAGAGGTTTTGTCTTGTTTTGTCACAAATGTTAACAGTCATTGTATATTTTGGTTTTTTTCCTCTTAAGTTATCTGTGCATGTAAATTTCTGCAGGAGCAAGATCTAAGTAGTCAAACATGACATGCTAGATAAGGGCTTTGCAAACAGTCCTGAGAGGTGTTTTGAGTGTTACTAACCTCTTCAGAAAGTTAAGTTCTGTAAAGACAGAGCCCTGAAGGAGAAAAATTTCAAATGCTATGGGGTATACTTTCCTTAAAAAGCCATTTTCTGAAGCCAAATGAAGCGAGACTTGCTTAGGGTCCTGGGACTTGAATCTGACTATTTTTTGTGAATAATGGAGGAAATAGTAACTCAACAGAGGTACAGGGGAGTGACCCGAATCGAGTCTTTCTAACACCTCACCAAGGTAACAGCAAACCCTGACAGCTAAACCTCTGCGAAAAGGCTGTGTCAAGGAAGAGACGCTCTTGTTCCTTTGTCACTGGGAACAGTGGGACGAGACCAGCTTGAGAATCAAACTTTCACCAGGGATGAGCCAACAGGGCTGGTGATGGAGAGCCTCAGATGGCACTGCTTGTCACCACTTAGAGCAGGAGTGTCATATAAAAGACTTCACAATACCTGACTTTAAATAACTGTCACAAGTGTCTTTCAGGCTTTCTTTGCCTGGTGCAACCCTGCATCTCTAGCAGAAATATTTTCTTTCAAACTTCTGTGTTGAAATGAAATTAGACAGTTGCAATTACTTTCCTCAGACATCTTATAATAGTTTGCAGTGTTGCAGAAGTTCATGGGCCAGAAGGTGGAAACCACTTCTGGGGAGTTTTGGGGAAAACGAGTTTCTGTAGAGTTCTGCAGAAGTGCCCTGGTCCTGCACCGTGTTCTTTTAGGTGAAAGTGACCATTTATTGTGCAGTACCTGACTGTGATGGAAGGTGTGTTCGGGGCCTCCTTAGACAGTAATCAGAAACCTTTGGTTTATATTTACATTGTGGTGTTTAATGTGGAATTGCCTTTACCCTAAGCCTTTGAGACTAGGGTGATTGCCTTTTTTGGCACATATGGGTTTTCTCGCCTCTGTGTTGGAAGCAAGGAGAATTTTACTGTGCAACGAGAGTGAACACCATGCTAGTTGGTATCCTGGCCTTTTTCTCTGACCTCATTCAATGCAGAGAGAAAACCCCAACAACTGTTGTTTTAATACTAAGTTGTAATCCTGTGTGAGATGCAAGGAGCACTCTATAGTCCCATCTTTTCACCACTCGTGCAATGGGAGCACCAGGAAAGGGGAAACTCCTCCTCTTCTGATCCCAGGGGTCTTGGCTAACAAGAGTTTCTCCACAGTGGTGCAGTTCACGTTTAGCTGGCACGCTGTTTGCTCTGGTGCCAGGCAAATAAAAGGCAGTTCTGTTCTGAAAATAAGATATCTGTTCATATGTAGGATATCTGCATTCTACATAAGCAGGTGTTGTGTAGAGTTTTTTCAGAGACAGGCTTGACACATTGAACTGTGATCAGGAAGTCCATCTGTGTCTGTCTGTCCAATACATAAACAGTAGGAAGCAGGATTCTGCTTTTTCACATCCTTATTTTCAAAAGGGAGATGAAATGGATACAAAACTGAAAGTCCCTTGTTCTGTTCCTTTTGTTTAAACTGTCAGTGGTTCAGCACCTCCAGCTCTGTCATTGCAGCAGGCAGACTTGCTGACCACCGAACAGGGTACAGAACTGTTGCATTGAAGTACATTTTAGTTGCATTTCTGCATGGAATTACATTTCCAATGAGACCAGGAATTTACAAGGTGCTTTATGGCAGGAGACACAGAATTCCAGTTTACTTTTTGTTGCCTTTGTTAAGTGTTGCTCTAAGTTCCCTGAGGCAGCTGAGAGGAGGCACTTTGCCCCACCACATTCCTGCAGTCAGTATGTGATCCCAGTTGATGACTGGGCAGCACTGGAGTCCTGAGTGGTGCCTCTGCAGTCAGTGCATAACACTGTCAGCAGTTTGCCATCCTTCCTCCCTGCCCACCCGGCTCTGCAAGGCTGTCACAGCCTCTCCCTCGCTGCTCTCCAGGTCTCACATCCCCCTTTCAAGACCTGCTCTAGGTTTTCGGTGTATCTCTGCTTCACTTCCACTCTACCAGAAAGCGGGTTGAGGGCAGTTAAAGTCCCTCAGCTCTTCATTCCCAGTCATGTTGTAAAAAGGAAGCACGAAGGCTCCCTCAGCGCCTCCCGCCTGCATTTGCAGTGTGTTGCTCAACACCCAAAGCAATGTGAGGCTGGTCATGGTTTGTAAGCCTTGAACAGATAGTTCCTGGAATGACCCAGGTTCACCAGCAGTGTAACACAGCTGCTGTGTGTCAGTGTCTGCATGGCATTCTGCATTTTTTAAAAAGCTAGGGTGTCAGGGTGCAAGGGAAAGAAATTATTGGCATCCTTTTCACCCCCTTGGTCAGGTGTGTGTCTGTGCTTTGCTCACTTGTTTGTGAAGCTGGAGATTTCTTCTGACTCTTCGTGCAAAGTAAATATTGATTCATGGACTAATGGCATTTGCAGCTCCAGGATATGCCTTTGCCTGACCTGAGGGAGACACTGACGGGGGAAGGGAAGGAAGGCCAAAGGCTTCCTGCTGAGAGTTCCTTTTGGACATTTCATTGAGCAAGTCAGGATTATAATTCGGAAAACAAGTTTTCTGGGTGTGAGAGGACACAATTGAACTGCCTGATTCAGTGCAGAGTTTTTGTCTGATTTCTGAAAGAGGGAAATGTTAAATTGGATGCAATCTACTTGGGATTTCAAAAGGTGAACTGGAAGAGGCTTTTAGAACTACACCTAAGTGCATGGCCTCCTGATGGGTACTGTGATTTTGCAATCACTTTTCTCTCTTCCAAACTGTTTGCTTTTTAATAAAGGAAGAGAATAGAGAGCAGTGGAAACCAGCTGAGAGTGCAGAGGTAGCAGTGGGATTTACTGCATTCAATGTTGCTTCACGTTCATTAAACATAGAGGAAAACAGTTTTTCCAATGCTAGCTTACTGTCAGAAGAGGTGTTGTGTATGCTGTTCTTATGACAGTGGATGAAAATTATTCTAGAAGGAATTGTTGGGCTTGTTCTAGTCCTTCTGATGATGTTTACTAGTGGCTCCTTTGTAGTTGTAAAGTTTTTAGCATACAAAAACATTACTTTGTGAAGTGTTTGTCTTCTGCACAGTCTTTCTGCTAGAGGTATGTTGTTCTTTTTTTATTGGCTTCTTACCTTTTTTAGTTGCTAAAATCAGCAGGGGAATAACACTCTGACAAGGAGTTTCTGTCCCAAAATTAAGATCCTACTGAAAGGCTCCAGACAGCATCATTTCATGCTTAGCACATCCAGGCACTACTGCTGCAGGCTTTGTGGAGATCACGTGGCAAAAGAGGCCAAGCAAGTAAAACATAGGCAGCAGGAGATTGCTATCTGGTGTTTGCCAGAAGCCAGGTAATTGAAATCTGTCATACCACAGCTGTGTGGAAGAGCCAGCATGTCCAAAGGAGGCATAATATTGCCACGTGGAAGTAAATTTGCAGGTCTCCTTTGCAGACATCCATTTCTAAAGGACGCCTGCGCTGGAAAAGAAGCTAACTATAATCTTGCATGGTGTGTATTTGCAACTCCAGCAAAAGTGTTGCGGGTGGAGTGCTTCAAGTGGCTGTACCTGATGTTGACTACACGCTTCCCTTGCAGCCTTCTTTTTCAGGTACACACACTCAGTGTAGCTGTCTTCTAGCAGGCTGGAACCAGAGGTGGTGTGATTATTTTTAGAGTCTGAACACAAAAAATAAATCTGCAAATAACAGGTACCATTAGCATTTTAACAAAAAGTATATTTCTTTCAAAATGTGAGGACTGCCTGTTATGTGGCCAAGATTGCTTCATATAGGAAACTTAAGTTACCTTTAAAAGTGGGAGATGCTTCTTAATGTGTGTGTGGTTTTAGTTTTGGAGTTCTGAGGGTTTGGGAGTTGCCATTAATATTTGTTCGACCTGATGTGTTTTTTCCTTTGTATTTCATACTCTTTCTTGTTCTCAGAAGTGTGTACTGTGCTAATAACCCAGCTAGGAGCTGTAGCAATTTCACACGTGTGGTTTCACAGGCTTTGTGGGAGCCCCTTTTGTTACTTGTCTCCTGGCTAGGAGAGTTCAAGAGTTGCTTTAGGTTTGTATACGTCAGTCAAAGGAAAGAACTTACTGTATACCAGGTATCCTCCTCCGCCTCCTGTCTTGCCCCGGGTGGTGCCTTGCTTAGCCAGGGAACTTTCTTCCTGGTTCCTGTGATGCTGGAAGGGCTGGTGCAGTGGCCTCAGCACCTTCTCTTGGAGACGCCTGTCTCTGTGGGCAGTCCCTGGCACTCTGCCTCCGTGTGCCGCAGCAGGAGCCTTCTCTTGGTGTGATTCTTGCTTCTCTCCCTGCCCTTCTGTACAACCATGCCAGAAGCAAGGTGAGCCTCACACTCTCCTTGGACTCTGTCCCAGATCGGTGCTTGCAGGAACGTTTCTATAGGAACCAGGGGCTGGAAAAACCTGCCCACCAAGTTCAGTGCTCTAATGTCAGGGACAGGAGAGCGAGCAGGCAGCAGGCAGGGGAGTGATCCCCAGCAAGGTGGAGGCCAGCATGCAGTGACGTGGACAAGGAAGGTGTTCCCTCTACTACACCTGTTTTGGGATGAGGAGAAACTCACTCAGCACTCTCCTGCTCTTCCAAACACTGGCCCGGCTCCTCCGTCGCAAGTTGGTTCAGCAGCAATTGCGCACACGATGAAAGTTAATAATGGCCGAGAGGGATTCCTACTCACAGGCTTGAGGCACTGAGGCAATGAGAAGCAATGAGAAGCGTGGCAGATGCTTCACATGGTGACTGCATTCCTAGTAAAAGTAATTGGAAACAGGGTTAACTGGGTTGAGAGAAGGCAGAGTAAAAGGACACTTTGCAGGCTCAGGAGCAGAGCAGTCATGGTTGCAAGGGAATGATAAACCTGAAAAACATCGAAATACGTTCACAGTGATGTTGAAAGGGAAATAGGTACTGTCAGCCAATGTACCTGCTTGGTGGGCATGCTGTGTGCATTCCCATGTAATACGAGTATGCAGATGCTCATTTTGTAATTGTTGTTATGTCTTCAGCTACTGAGAGAAGAGTTAGTGCTAAGGGAACAAATGGGACTAGAGTGATGGGGAGATAAATGTTTACAGAACTGGTGAGTAAGAACTTACCATCCTGTGGACAACATTACTTCTCAGAAATAAAAGCTGGATTTTTTTGTAGTTTCTTTGCTATTCTTTTTGCCCTAAGAGTTGGTGTCAGAAAATCAGAGCATCTGTTGATCCATGTCAGCCTTTCTCAGGCAGAGAACTGTCTAAATCTGGGAGGAGGAAAGCTTATCATTTGTGTTTCCAGACACAGATGTTTTTTATGCTTTTGCAGTGTTGTACAGCCGCTTATCTTGGAGTGCTGTAGCAAGTCGCTTTCAGGCTACAAGTGCTCCCTGGAAAGCTCACTGAGATGCAAAGGCAATGTAACCCTGTACTATTCAGCACTATAAACCAACTTTGACAGGGCTTGCTGGATGAATCCCTCGGGTTCCTACTTTTAGCAGTTTACAGTCATAAGTAGCTTTACTGGAAAGGGGAAGCTGGAAAAGCCATCCCAGATGTGTTAGTTTCTCCCATGTTCTTTCCCAAGGAAGTGCAAGTGACTGATATATCCCAGCACTGGCTTTATCTGCTTGTTAGAGGTGGCTCTTGCCGTCTCCCACACATAAATTGTAAGGTTGATCCTAAAGTCCAGAATCTCTCTCTCTGATTACTGAACTATTCCATTGTTTTCCTGGAAATCCCCATAAAAAAAACCCATAAAAATCTGCTGTTAACTAGTGTCAGGAAAGCAAGAGAGGGGGAGGTACGTGGGCTGTTTAATCATCTGAGCTCTACTGCCTGCTTTAGTTCAGAGGAACCTGGTTCCTGGCTCATTGCAGAGTTACTTGATAGCATCTTGTCCATGGCCACATCCTTCAGAGAGCTGTGTTTCCACACCCCTACACACTTCGCTCCTGTACTTTGTGATGCTGCTACTAAAATCTCTTTTAGGCTTATTGCATCTAATGATACCCCCTTAAACCCTTTTCACTGTTTCTGTCCCTTCTCCATGGTCAGTGTCTTCAGAGACTGATGATGTATGGTGTGGGTTTTTTGTATTGATAATTAAATATAGGACTCGCAATATGTGATGGAAAAGGTCATAAAAATTGTCTTGGTTTTTGACATTCTTTTGATCAGCAATGGTGGTACTGTCACAAGGAATTTGGTAAATGGCAGTGTGCTCTTTCTAGCTGGTCAGTAGGCATGAAATCAAGAGGAAATTCCAGTCTCCGGAATTTATTTTTTGTGGGGGCAGAACTTAAATACTAAGGGATTTAATTTTCATGTGGAGAAGTTGTGAGTGAGGGGTCTCTCTGTCCCCCACCATGTTTTTAGATGCTAATTGAATTCTCTCCTTGCCTTTTCTTTCTAGTAACCGCTGACCTCTTCAAACAGCACTTCTGGACCTGCTGACAGCCTCTGCTACTCAGCCTTACCTAGTGCAATGTCCGGTGAGCAGACAGAAATGGACTCAGTATCTGCTTGTTTGGTTGCTTGCTCTTTCTTCAGCAGAAACTTCATAAAATAAAGTTCCTGGTTCCAAGAGCCATTCTTTATATTAACATGCTGTCTGGTTAAATTGGGAGCAAGGAAACAACCCCACTCTTTGTGACCCAGCTGCCTTTTCACTCAGGGTGAACTCAGTTCCTTCTTTTACCCCAAAGAAGCCTTTTCAGCCATTGAACACAGAGGAAAAAGAACATTGAAATGTAATCTTCTTTCCCCTGTTTTTTATAAGATTTGCTTGGTTCTGTTCTCCTCCCAAGATTTGCCCCAAAGTTGGTGGCTCATTTGGTGATTATGAGAGACTTTACTGTACAATGGTAGCTCCAGGGCAGGCAGAAGGCTGAAGAATAACTGGAGTTCAACTGTGGACTACTGAGATAAGCTTTACTAAAACTAGGTCTTCTCTTTCTTGTAGTGGCCAACTCTCCCACCCCATGCTTTTGTCTAAACCTTCCTTCCTGGTCCAGCTGATTATTTCAGGGCATATAACCCTGAGGGAAACTATACTTCAAAGCCAAGTAAACCTTTGCTTTGGTGATATGAACAATAGAAGACTTGGAACATGTTGATCTGCTTTAAGTGCAAAAGTTGATGTATGCTTGTATTCCAAGGGAGGCTGTTCAGTGGCACTCTACCTGAGATTGGAAGGGTGCTTATCTTGAACACAAAAGTCCAAGATAATAGGCATACTTTCATTGCTGCAACTCTCTATACATGGTCTGACAATATCCCAGCCCTTTTAGAAAAAAAGGTTGCAGTTGAGCATCTTGCTGAAGGCTCTGGTTTTCCATTGTGGTGTCTGAGTGACAGAGTTTCAGTAAGCTCTGGATTGCTGCTGGTGCTGGGGTTGGTGCCTCCATCAGAGGCATTTACTTCTCCATAATAATATTTTTTTGTGGTAATTCCTCTGGCTTGGCACTGATTGCACAGCTTTTCCAATCAGATGAGTGATCATATGATGCCATAGAACTATTTCTCTTTCCTAAAAATCTCTTTCTTAGAGGGAACTCCATTTGGCCTTTCTGCCTCTTTTACTCGGTAATAAGGAACAAAACCATCTGAAATTACTGGCTTCCTTGATGAAGTGGGAGCTGTCTCCCTGTCTAGAGTAGCAGTCACGACAAACTGCAGAATGAGTCCTTCCCTTGCTGAAACAGTTTGTATTAAGTGTGTCTTCCCAAGGGTGTTCTTCCAGGTTTTCACTGCTGTGTTGATCTCTTTCTGTTTAGGCCATCACACTCCCTCTGCTGGGGGTCCCTTCTCAGCACTCACTCCCAGCATTTGGCCTCAGGACATCCTGGCAAAATACACACAGGTATAGTGTGGGGCAGGGAGGGGGTGTTCTCTGGCTGTGCAAAAGTAGAGGGACCCTGGTGGTTTCTGGTGGTCTCTGAAAGCCGCAGGGAAAAGGAGGGAGAGGCACACTTTTCCTCTGGTGCTTTAGTGGTGGGCACTTAAAATTCACATGTTTTGTGGCTGCATCCTGGGTTTTGCAAGAGGATCTTGCAGAGTACAAAGAAACTTGTGTGAATTATTGCTTTGCTGTTTTGCAACTATTGCTCCAGTGTAAAAATGTTGACACTGTCAGGGAGCCTCTGTCATCATCAAGCTACTCTGGATGGCTTGTGTATGGCAGGAAATGCTAGCCTCAAGGCTTGTCAGGTGGGCAGAGGAGGAAGGAAGGAAGCAGCCATGGAATTTCATAACTTATCCACAGTTTGCTGAAGGCAGTTGAGCCCAATGAGGCAGATTAAAGCTTATCGTGGAGCTATGCGGGAAGCACATTTCTGGGGTGCTACCTGGGTTCAGTGCTTCCAAGAGTCCCTACAGGAGGAGCAGGTGGGCTTGCAGGAAAAGGGAGGTATCTGTAGGTTTTCAGTCCTAAAAGAAGCCTAGTTATAACCTCCACTATGTATCCCCCAGTGCCAACTGTGAGCACAGATGAGGAAGGTTGAGATTTGGGTCATGGATCTTAATTTCCTTTGGTGCAAATCCCAGTTTTGCCTGGTGTCTTTCAGAGAAAATCTGAGAGCAACAGGCAGGAGATGTCACAGTGCAGGGAGCTGAATTTGCAGTGTGTGCGCAGAGGTAACAGGAAGGACTGCTGTGCGTTAGCAACGCAGACAGCAGAGACCTCTTTAGCTGGTGTGTGTATTCCTCAGTTCATGAGGAGGGCTCCATGCCCCTCCAAGTGGGGAGTTCTGATCTTGATATGAGGCTGAGCTCAAGTCCTCCTGGAAAAAGGATTGCTAGGAAAATCTGTGCAGGTTTGATGGCAGGGCTTCACAACTTCCGTGGAGAAGTCAACATGCGAATGGTATGCAATATCTGCTCAGCTTGGAATTGTGGTGGGAGGCATTGAAAATTAAAGGGCAAGGGGATCTAAGTGCTCAAAGGGCACAATGCGGACAGTGGTGAGATGGGGCAAAATCCATGTGTCTCTGTTCAGTTATGCAGTGCTAAAGTGGTGAAAGTGTCTGTTTTCCTTCCTCACATCTCCCAGAAAGAAGAATCCGTCGAGCAGCCAGAGTTTCGCTATGATGAATTCGGTTTCCGAGTTGACAAGGAAGGTAAAGCCAGTCCTATCCCTCCCACTTCCGTTGTGTGCAGCCCTTCCTGTGCTTCCAAGTATGTCAGGGTGGCTTTGCAACCATTCTGTACTTGCTCTTGTCTACCCACCTGTCATCATCTTTCTGTATCCTGCTATTGTAATCAAGTGAATTAGATGTGCTGGCCTTATGGGAGTCTGGAGCATAGACTATGCAGAAGTAATTTCCATCCCCTTATGCTTGTGCCATGGGTAAAAGAGAGAAAAGAGGGGTTACCGTTTCCATTAGCAGCTGCATGCTGGGGAAGGGCAACTTTCCCAGTTGACAGTGTTGTGTTCAGTATCATTGTAAGCACTCACAGCAGGCACAATGAAACATTCTGTCTGTTGAAAAACTCGTGGCCAAAATGAGTGGCAACAGTATTCGTTCTGCCCATCCCAGCATCTCAGCAAAGTGTAGGACAAACTGTATGGGTAAACCCCACATCCTAATTTTTCTGCAAGATATGGAGAAAGGCAACCGAATAGGAGGAGATGTGGAGAGCTATTGCAGCTGAGCATTGAACTACAACAGCTGGCTTTTGCAAAGAGGAAGAGAAAGGAGATGTAGGAATTACTTTATGTGCTCTGGAGGATGTTTCCAGGGCTCAGGCCATACAGTGCAAGGGCAGAAGTTGTTCACATGTGTGCTGTGAGTCACCTTAAGTTACAGAGGATCCTCTTTGAAGCCATGACCTGGAGATGAGGACAGGACACAGCGTTTTGGTTTTTTTCCCAGCCAGAAAATTTCACAGACTCGTGCATTATAAAATCAGCAGAAAGATTTGGACCGCATTGTTGAAATGTATTATATGATTAAGGACAAGAGCACCTTACGTCAAACCTGTACTTGTGCTAAAGTGTCTATTTTAGAAAGCCAGCCTTAGGTTAAGGTGCTCTCTCATTTTGAATTTGGAGGTGTCCTTGCTAAAGCTTTTTTGATGATTAAATATCCCCAAAGTTAACATTTTGCACCTCATTACTTCCATGAGCGTATAGCTTCTGCTTTTCACCTCTGAGGCTTGCTACGCTTTTGTCAGCCTGATTTACAGATTCTTATAAAACCCAGCAGGATGGCTGCTGCCGAGGTCTTGTTTAATTCCAGCCACACTGTGCTCTAAATCATGAGTAAGTAGAGACTAGAAGCCTGCTGACACCTTCTTAGTTCTCAAGGTCCCAGTGCTTTTTGTTTATGACCATTAAATTTGCTCCATGGAGAAGGCAGTCAGAAACCAAGCTTTGCCTTTCCATGCTCTGACTGGAAGACGTGAATGTTTTTAATGTGCTTTTTTCAGATGGCCATCCTATTCCCCACTCTGCCTTGTGTTTGTTCTCTCTCCTGTTCCCTGTCTCATTTGTCTCCATTCCTTTCCCTTCCATTTGCTGAAGCAGATGGTGCTGAGCCAAACTCCAGCAAGCTTCTGGGGGTCCCACTGACGGAGGAACCGCAGCAGAGGCTCAAGTGGCAGGCTCATCTGGAATTCACACACAACCATGACGTGGGCGACCTCACCTGGGACAAAATTGAAGTTACCCTACCCCATTCAGACAAGCTGCGCTCCCTGGTGCTAGCTGGCATCCCACATAGCATGAGGCCACAGGTGAGAGTGCTGCCTGTTCTGGGTGGGCGCTCCTGCCTGGAGTAAGAGATAGTGGAGTGAGATCTCTTGGTTGAGAGGCTACCAGCTCACGACTTTCTGTGTTTGTCTGAGTGACTCCTCCTATCTCTGTTCACCCTGTCCCCCCAGCTGTGGATGCGCCTTTCAGGGGCTTTGCAGAAGAAGAGGAACTCAGAGATGTCATATCGGGATATTATAAAAAACAGCTCTAACGATGAAACCATTGCTGCCAAACAGGTGGGAGAAACTTCCTAATGCTGAGTGGGGAGAAGGGCAAGAGCAGCTGTGTGAGAAGGAAGGGGTGTCTGCCTGACACCTGCAGCAGGGACTTGAGAGGACATGTGGTTGAATCCTGCTAAACCTTAATCCTGTGAGGCATATTTCTCCTTTGTTTTGCTGGAGTAGCAACTGTGCAGCTCTGCTTCTTCCTAGGACAGCAGGGAAGGGGTTTGACCCATGCTGCTTGCAGGCTAAAAAACAGTGCTGCAGTTGCGTCTCAGCAAACATCCTGATATTCATTGAGAGAAATGAAGGGTGAAAGGCTGACAGATGCACCTCTGTTGAGGTTGTGGTGGCTGTTTCCAGGGCCTGTCTTTGTTCCCCCAAACACAGTCTCTAAACACTAATAAGACTCTTACAGGGTCTCCTCAGGGTGTTTTCCTTTGATCTCTCCTTTTTGTGGGAGGAGGGAACAGCAAAAGAAACTGAGATCTGCACATGTTCACCTCTCACCAAGAAGAGTCAAAATAGTTGGAAGGAGAAACAGCACTGCTCAAGGGAGATCTGTGGGTTCTTCACCTCTAAGTCCTCATTCACAGATGTGGCCAGATTGTTGATTTTTCTCTGGAATAGGTTTTTCGGGAAGCCTTGCTTGAAATCCAGGCAGGTGAAATTCCCAACTAGTGTGCTTACTATTGTCAGTGGTGAAACTAGGGCCTGAGTTTAGACGAGTATTTCTTGGGAGTCAGCAAGTCACTGTCTGCACTGGCATTTTCCCTCTTGTCAGTGAAGGTTGTTAAACTGACTCAGGTACTCGGACAGGGCCACCTTCTTCAGTGCCTGAGGATGGGTGTGGGAGGCAGAGTTCCCTGAAGCAGGGGGCCATGGGGAAGTGCAGATAGCAGAAGGCAGTTGTTCAGGTGCTGCAAGCTGACTCTGTCCTTGTTTATGGCTGACAGATTGAAAAGGACTTGCTACGCACAATGCCCAGCAATGCCTGCTTCTCCAACATGAACAGTATCGGAGTGCCAAGGCTACGCAGGATACTACGGGGACTTGCCTGGCTCTACCCAGAGATTGGATATTGTCAGGGCACTGGCATGGTAACCTGCTTTCAGAGTGTCTTTGTAATAGGGATCAATGTGTCTGTGGTCGCAACAGCAGAGCGAATGATTTGAGGTAGTGCTGCCAGATACTGTGGTCTCCACATGAGCTGAAGAGAAATCCCTTCCACATGGAATACTTTTCCTAGGAAAGGGAGAGCAGAGTAGCACCACATATCCAAAGATACTGAAGAATTCAGTCTGTCTGTTGGGGAGGGTGCAGGCAGTACACTGAGGAGAAATCCCTTCAGTGGAGGCTGCAGGAATGCTGCTGCAGAAGGAAGATTTTTGTCACCTAGATACTGGTCCATCTGTCCACGTGAGAAAGTGGGGAAAGAGTTCTATTCCTCTTAGGACGTGCAGTTGTTCTTCCTTCAAAATCCTAGGTGGCTGCTTCTCTGCTGCTCTTCTTGGAGGAGGAAGATGCCTTCTGGATGATGTGTGCTATCATTGAGGAATTGGTTCCTGCCTCCTACTTCAGTACCACTCTCATGGGCGTGCAGACAGACCAGCGTGTCCTGCGGCAGCTCATCGTGCAGTACTTGCCTCGCCTGGACAAGCTGCTTCAGGAGCATGACATTGGTAAAAGTGTGCCCTAGAAACTGTAGCTTTTCTTGCCAGGATGACATGCAGACAAAGACTGTTATTCTTTTTTCACAAAGGGAGAGCAATAGAGAGAGGAGCAAGCCTCTTGACCCTGGAGGCAGTGAATGGAGGACAGCCCTTAGAAGAGTCCATCTTCACTGGTTGACTGACTTCTTCTGTTGTGATTATTTTCCATGTTTTTATTCACAGAGCTCTCCTTGATCACCTTGCACTGGTTCCTCACCTCTTTTGCTAGTGTTGTCCACATCAAGCTGCTGCTGCGTATTTGGGACCTCTTCTTCTACGAGGGCTCTCTGGTGCTGTTCCAAGTCACTTTGGGCATGCTAAGTATGAAGGTGATTCCCCACTCCTCTTCCTCCTTTATAGTACTTCAATGTTTAATTCTGAGATTTAGGGGCAAGAAGGTTTAGTATCCATTTGCTGTATGTGATTTGGGAGTGTGCTAGGGAAGATGTCTTCCTGCTGCCTTCGGAACTGGAGGCTGTGAAAAACTTCTAAGGCACTTTGCGGAAATTAGTAATTGCTGTTTCCTGTGCATACATCATTTGTTGCCCCATAATTAAACCTCATCAGCTGCCCCTCTCTATTCAGTCTAGATCCCAACCTGAGGGTGCATCTTACCTAAACCAAGATACCCCTCGATTTTGCACAATCTGTGAGGAGAGAGAGAAAGCCAAATTTGTGGTCATCTGAGAAGCTTTGTATGGCACTATTGAATGCTCTAAGAGATGAGCATTTTTCTGACTGCATTTGATTTGACTGACCTATATTTAACTGCTTGATCTTTTCCTTTTTATGTGGGAAACAATTTGGTGTTCAGTTTTCTGTGTGAAGGACAAGGGAGATCCTGCTGGGAGTAAGGGGAAGGTGGAGCACAGTTTGACATGGTAGATGCTCTGTAGTGTGTGAGACTGAACAACTTCCATTCTTTTATCTCTAGCAAGATCCCTGCTGCGCGCAGTCCTAGTGGTTGGTGCCAAATAGGTTTGGTTTGGTTTTTCCTTGCCGATTTGATTTAATTTCAAGGATGAATGCTGTGATTCAAAAAAATGCCAGCTAGAATTCTGGGAGGAGGGTGCAATAGAGCAGTAAAAGATGTTATCCCCCTCTCAAAAGTATCTTGGACTTTTTCTACTGAAGTTTTTTTTATGAAATTGTCTAGTTGTACCTGCCCAAGGTGTACACTGAAAGTAAAACTGCATCTAGCAGCCTCAAGAGCCCAGCTGTCGTGTTCACTGCTCAGTGTGGCAAAAAATCACTGTGTTGTTGCAGGAGGATGAGCTAATCCAGTCGGAGAATTCTGCCTCCATCTTCAACACGCTCTCAGACATCCCCAGTCAGATTGAAGACGCAGATGTGTTGCTGCGGGAGGCCATGCGCGTGGCTGGCTCGCTGACAGACGTGGCAGTGGAGACCCAGCGCCGCAAACACTTGGCCTACCTCATTGCTGAGCAAGGGCAGCTGCTCAACTCCAGCACCACCGTCAACAATTTATCCAAAGTGAGTGCACAGAGTCCCACCTGCCTCTGCTGCTCTGCTTTTACCATTCCCTTACATATTCCCGCCCTGTTTCTGTTTGCAAGCAAGAGGTCCTCCTGTTTGAGAGGATTTTTGGCTCCAGGGTAATTTTGTCATCTGTTGGAGAAAAGGTATTGGGAAGTTGGAGGACAGTCTATACTAATGAAATGCTGCCAGATCTGTCCTGGTTGATAAATCCCCAGATGAAAGAGGTATTGGCATTGATTGTAATTATCATTAATGAGAGTTATGATGAAATGTAACATATTTCATTAATGGAAACTGAAAGAAACAACATATGTTTTTGGCAGAATTTGCTTGAAGCACACAGAGAGTAGGAACTGGATTTAATCCATTAGTAAGAAACTGGTACAGTAAAATAATCTTGGAATGTAGAGTCAGAAAACAGCAGCAACTGCCTTTGAGAAGCTGAATAAAAAATGTAACTGTGTTTAATCTTGGACTAAAATCTACAGTTGCAGACAAGACACTTGCAATTCTAAAATATAATAGTTATCCACTTGGAAATTTATATACAATTACATGTGTAGCTGCTTTTGGCAACAAATTAAATTATTCACGTGAGTTGTGGTTGATTCTCAAACTTCAATTATGCTTTCATAATAATTAAGCTATAAATAACCTGTTGCACATGGAACAGGTCAAGCAGTGGAGCTGATTCATTGCGTTAGGACTAGAACAACTCCTGTTGAAAACTGCCAGTTCACTTGCCTGCCCCTTCTAATGGTAGCTGTCAGGACCCCTTACCCAGAGCTGACCAGTGTGGAGGGTTGCTTTATTTAATTTCTGAAATCTCTCCTAATGTGTGCTCTTTGTTTTCTCGCTTCCGTTCTCTCAGATTGTGCGGCGCAGGACTCAGCGCAGGAAATCTGGCATCACCTCTCTGCTTTTCGGTAAGGACAACCCTGTGCCCTTCACGTGCTGTTGATGGCTGTTGCAGCCTAGGAAGGAGGGAAGTGAGCAAAGCAGAGAGAGAAGGGAGCCAGAACTGAAGGATGAGAGGGAAGAAGTGCAGTTTACTACTTGATTGCTTTGATCTGAGCTCAGAAAGGAAATTTTAGTTTAGACTGTTAGTCCATGAATGGTGAGCAACAACAGGTGCAGCTCAGCCCAGCTGTAATGTCCTTGCACTGACCAACAGGGCAAACACATTCTCTGGCAGACCATATGCAGTCCACAGGCTGGATGTGGTACTTTCCTGATGTTACTCTGCTTGGTTCAAGAACATCTCTGAAGATCTGAGACAGGGCAGGATGTCCAGTGCATCACCCATCAAAATTTATAAATGCAAATGTCATTGTTTCCCCTTACTTACTCTGAGAGTTCAGTGCTGTGAACACTTTTGAGTCTTTATGAGCTAAGCCAAAATATGTCCAGAAAGCACACAGCCAGAATAGGTTTTTCATGGTTTTAACACTAACTTATTTCTTTGACTCTGTTAGAGCCCCTTCTACTGTAAGCCTTACTGTCATCACCATCCTTGCAACTGGTTAGCTTTCTTGAAGTTGCCACATGTCACCCCAGGAATTTTTTTCCTGGAGGAAGACAACATACTAAGTTTACAGGTTTCAAACAGTGTTCCTGTTGTGGTTGAAATGGCCTGAATAAATCTGTGTTTTACTGGTCTTTCCAGAGAACAGCTTTTCTGATGTTCTCTATGCTTCCACATAGAGCATTACTGAGAAAAATTCTAGTAGAATAACTAATGAAGCTGTAAAGTCAAGAATGCAGAAGTGAAGAAATGCAGGAAAGTTGCTTAAGCGACCTAAACTCAGAGCCCTTGTATATAATGTTATCCTACAGTCAGTACAGACTGAACTGGCAGGGAACTTGGCTGCCACATGCATCTTTCTTGTGTCTCAGACAGTCTCCTTTACTATGTTTGAGTCATTTTATGACAGTGATAGTGAGTTATACACATGCACAAAGATAAAGTTTAAGTTCAAGCTCCAAAATATATCAGTGGTAGAATCGAGATGATTGATAGTGTTTTCTCATTTTAGTGGGGTTTCTGTACAGTGACTGTCATGTTTTTTACTTAACAATATTCTTCGTATTTGAAATGTTGGTTAAAAACAAGAAGTTGACAAGAATGGAGAACTTCAGCCCAAGTGAGAAGAAGGAAAGGTTGGATGTGATAAGTTCACCTTATACTGGGAACTGACAACTGAGCAGTGGAAAGTCTTCTGCTTGTGATAGTTACTGTGTAGAACTGGTACTTAGTTTGGGAGGGAATAAGAACTCACCCAGAGCTTAAATTCTTCTTCCTTAGAGTGAATGCAGATGTAGTAGTAACTTGGACAGGAGTCACAGAAGCCCAGGAGCATTGTTTAGAAGAGACCTCTCGCTGTCTGTGTTCCAGCCTCTTCTGCTCAAAGCCAGACTTTTGCTCCCGCTAGATCAGGTCAGCCAGGGCTTTCTCTAGTTGAGATTCAGGGAGTTGAACCAGATTTCCAATGACGGAATAAAAAGAAACAATGAAAAGTAATTTGATGGAGAGCAAAATGTTCATGTTGTCCTTTTCCTGTTGGATGGGTGCTGCAACAAGGGAATGCAGAAGAGTCCTCCTCTGCTCAGCTGTGCAGCTAGTCAGTCTTCACAGGCTCAAAGTAGAGCTTCCTCATATGTGGCTGATCACGCACTGGTTTCCTGTTTGGAAATGTAGGTGCAGTCATGTTGAGTGCAGTGAGGTGAATCTGGTAGAAACACCAGTTGCTTTCCTCTGTACAGTCTACCTTCTAAGATGGGATAATGCTTCCCATGTCTTCTGCTTGTGTTTTGGGGGGATTGATCTGAATGCAGAGGGAAGAGCATGGTATTTTGGCCAGATGGGACTGAATGATGACAGAAAGAATCGGTGATCTATGTAAATGAGGGCAGCCCACAGAGCTAGTGCAGCTGTGGTTGGGTTTCTTCTTTAGTCGCATTCTATTTTAATCACACGAATTTTCTGGGAATCCCCAATGTCTACCTGATAACCTATCTATTTACAATCTTTGTGTCTCTGAATCTGTAGTGAGAGTTCATGCACGCTCTGTTTCCTGCCCCCGACCACAGAGGAGGAGATTTTGTTAGTTTTTTGTTGATTAGACTGCGAGTAACTATGGCCTACAGTTTTTTTTAGTCTAGAAGCAAGGTTCAGTTTTCTCTTAAGATTTGTGTGTCTGATTCTCCAATCATTTAATTTAGCAAACAAAAAACAATTATAAAAATAATTTTAAACCTAATTTTGTGCTTCTATTTACGTTTCTAAAGTTTGGGTCCTTTCAATTAGGATCACATGATTAAAAGATATTTAGTCACTTTTCAATAAGCAGAAACTTAATGTGTTAAGCTGTTGCAGTAGCTGTACAGCTCAGACCACGCTTTATTTGTATTGTTTTCTGCAATGCTGTTAAAAGATAAGCAGAGTACTAATTTGCTAGCCAGTTATTTACTTGGGTCCTGAGTAGAAGCTGTGTTTGTATAAACATTGGAGTTCAGTGAAAAATTCATTGTTTTAAATGTTGATTTTGTTAATCAAGCTACCACATCTTCACTATATTATAGAGAGAGGAAAAATATATGACAAAGATGTATGAAAATACATTTTGAATTTAAAACAAACTGATTTTTTTTAGAAAAAGAAACAAATGATTCATTGTTCCCAAACATCATGTACCCAGTATTTCTGGCATTCAGATACATTAACTGTCTAAAGAATCCATGCCATTAGATATCTTTTTGCATAAAGTAATAGAGATAGGCTGTAAAAACTCCTGGGTGAATTATCAACTTTTACTTTGTCCTTATGACTGTTTCTATACAATCCAAACCTTTGAAATCTGGCTCTTAGGGAGGTTGAGGTCTTAAGCAGGTGGTGACTTTTCTCTTGTGGCTCTGGCTTCTAGACTGGCACAGGAAAATGGGCTGTCATGGTTTTTCAAATCTCTTTCAAGACTCGGTGAAGAATATGCTCTCATCCAGTGAGTTATACAAATATCAGAAGTAGTTCAACCAACAGGTGATTCAGTTTCAAGTGACTTTCAGTTGGAGAGGATTATTGCAAGTTCCCCAGTTTTGTGTCCCACCATTCAGCCAACTATATATTGTAGACACTTCTTTGAAGTAGTACCTTGGTATGAGTTTCCCAGGCAGACCAAAAATGACATCTTTGAGTTCCATATGTGGTTTGAAATATCATATCCTTAACATTTGATCCAGTCAAATTGGTATTTGCTATTTACATTATTGAATAGATTGGCAGTATCTGATGTCAGGCTTTTCTGATTTCTGCAGAATCAATGATTTCTAATGTTAACAAAAAATAAACACCTTGTACCTGATTTCCTTTCCTCGCCTTCTCTTTTGCTGCATGGGCTCCACCAGGGGATGATGATCTGGAGGCACTGAAAGCCAAGAACATCAAGCAGACGGAGCTGGTGGCTGATCTGCGTGAGGCCATTCTCCAGGTGGCACGGCACTTCCAGTGTGTGGATCCCAAGAACTGCAGCATTGTGAGTGGAAACAGCTAGATATGCACTGCTGTGTGATCCAGGCATGAGTGTTGAGTGTCCACCACAGGACAGGACTGTTCAAATGCTCCTGAAATGTGGGCTTGAGAAGGAACATGCCGGGTGTAACGGGTAGAGGGTGAGGCTTGCTTAACCCATCCCTGGTGGAGGAAGGCTGTGCTGGGATGTTGTCTGCTGGCTAGGAGCAGGAAAAGGTGTGGGAACAGCGGCATGCAAACTTTGGCAGATCAGCTGGGAGTCACCTGTTGCTATTCATTCCTCTCTGCTCTCATCTACATGTGTGCTAGGATCTGACTCCAGACTACAGCATGGAGAGCCACCAGCGGGACCACGAGAACTACGTGGCCTGTTCTCGCAACCGCCGCCGGCGAGCCAAGGCACTGCTGGACTTTGAGCGCCACGATGACGATGAGCTGGGCTTCCGCAAGAACGACATCATCACGGTGCGTCAGCCTGTGAGACAGGGACCAGGGCAGGACCACGCAGACCCAGATTGTTTGGGACACTGCACTACCTCTTCTGCAGGGAAAGAAGGGAGGAGATAAACTCAGAGCCCAGTTAGGAGCCCAAGAGAAGCAGCTGGTGTTTTGGGGGCTGCCTGGGGGTGAGGCAGTGTGTTCCTGTGAGTGTTGTCTTGTGGGTCATTCTCACTGCCACCACAAAGTCCCTTTCCTGGCTGTCAGAGCTGTGCAAAAGGCGAATTTGATCCAACACAAGTCCTGGTTTAACACTGTGCACGGAGCTGTGGTAAGACTGTAAAAGCATCCATTTGCATTTTAGCTGTGGGTGTCCCATCTGAAACTGGGGAGAACAGGGGTAACGTTGTGTTTGCAGTAGCTTTGTGCCTTTGAAGGCCCCAAGCCACATGAGAAGAGAGTGTTGAAAAAACAGTTGAGAAGAAAGCAGTTTGTCATTGTGGACACACAGCTGGGCAGCTGTAGCCCTCCTGCCACTGCACTCTCTTCAACTGATTTCCTCTCCCTGTTTTTCAGATCATTTCCCAGAAGGATGAGCACTGTTGGGTGGGAGAGCTGAATGGACTGAGAGGTGAGAACAGGATGGGTTGCACTGGGGAAAGTGGGGCCCGGATGCAGAGCATCCATTCATCCACAGCAGCTGCTCTCATACATTTGCAGCAAAGGCTCTGTCAGGTACCCAGAGTATCTGCCAGGGACAGAAGAAATGCTAAAGCAGGGTATGAGAGCAGTGACCTGGTTACTTCTTGCAAATAGCAAGTTTAGGCTCCATTCTTCTGGCACAGGGTGTTTGGATGCATGTCATCACTGCTGCATGTAGACAGTGTCCTGTAATTGGTTTCCTCATGCAGTTGCCTTAAATATTGTATTTTGAGGCTGCTCACTTCCTTCTTTGGGGTTGGGCCCTGTGAACTCTGATTTATTCTCAGCTCCCACTGGGCTCTCTGTAGGGATTTCTCAGTGTCTTTGTCAGGCTTATCTCTTTGTCCTCTCTTTGTAGGTTGGTTTCCTGCAAAATTTGTGGAAATCTTGGATGAGCGGAGTAAAGAGGTAATTAAAAAAAAAACAGAACTACAAAAAACTCCCCACATTAAAATAAAGAGTTATGTTGTAACTGAAAAAAATACAGATGAAGGGAGCCATGTATTTCCCTCCTTCGGTCTGTTTGCTCTTTCTGGCTATTGAGCGCTTTGTGGTGTGATGGGGCAGGTTATTTTCCTGAGCCTGTTTGCTCAACTTCCTCATGCTGACCAAGCGGAGAATGAGGGCCCCAGAGGGTGCCAGGGCAGCCAGTGTGGGATGCCTGGGGTTGCAAAGACCCTAGAGATGAAACTCAAGAAAGCTGAGAAGGCAGCAAGCAGGTAGGCAGGAAGATTCTGTGGGTAGTGTTTCTGTCTTCTCTCTGCTGCTTGTGTTCTTTTCCTCCTTTGAAGTTGTGCCTGTGCTCATGCTTTGTGGCCATGACAGTGAATTCTCCCCAAACAGCTGTGCCCAAGGGGGCATTCTGTCTCACTTCCTCTCACAGCTGGCAATGGTGAGATACCACCTATCGAGAACAGATGCGTCAATATGTCCCCAAGGCTGAGGTAATGTGTAGGAGACAGACATCATCAGCTGTTGACCTAAGCAATTTTCAGGGGAAATGGAGAAGGCCCTGTTCTCCCTCTTCTCCTCAGCATTTGGAATGTGAGGAAGAGCTCAAAGGCTGACCCGAAGCCCCACTTGCTTCCTCCCCCCCCTCAGGGCTGGTTCCTTGGATGCAAATCACCTCTCTGTGTATAAACATGCTCTGTACTGCTGAGCGTTTCTCCTCCTAACTGTGGAAACAGAGAGGATCCCACTCATAGGATTGTTAACACAATATCCCCCCTGACCTGGAAATTCCTGTCTGTCCCTATTCGTCTTGACATTTAGCAGTTTACAGAGTCCCAGAGACCCTCAGTGCAAGTCCCTCTCCATACCTTAGCTCAGTCAGTGTCACACCAAACCACAGAAGTTCCAACATGCTGAACACTGCCACGATGGTGCTGGGATCACCTGTGTGGTCTCCTGGGGACCACCAAAGGACAAAGGTCCTGGTGTCCCAGCAGATCTCCAAGCAACAGCACAGAACATGGTGCCTTATGCAAGCACATAAGGGGTAAAGGAGGTGGGGGCTGGCTGGCACCTGGCAGTGGAATTGATCTGTGCAGTGAAGGTGTAGGTGAGTGGACCACCTCCATGCTCTGCCCCCTCACCAGTATGCTGAGAGCTGGCTCTTCGTGTTCCTCAGTACTCCATTGCTGGAGATGACTCAGTCACGGAAGGAGTGACCGACTTGGTGCGAGGAACGCTTTGTCCAGCCTTGAAGTCCATATTTGAACATGGATTGAAGAAGCCATCTCTGCTGGGAGGGCCCTGCCACCCTTGGCTGTTCATTGAAGAGGTGAGATGTCCCAGTTTCTTTTGTGGGGCAGTGTTGCCAGAGGGCTGAGGTGAGGGGGTTGTAGGGCAGTGTGCTGACTGTCCCTCTGCTCCTCTAGGCTGCAAGCCGCGAAGTGGAACGGGACTTTGACTCTGTGTATTCTCGCCTTGTGCTCTGCAAGACTTACAGGTAAGGCCACTTCAGTCACACCAAGTGGATGGGTCTATGCCCTGCCCCTGCCTGCTCATCAAACTGATGCTGCTCTGCACCTTGGGAAAGGTCATGGTCTGCCTCATCTTCCTGCGGTTGTGGTTGTGCCTGTGCTGACTTGGGGCCAGCAGTGGCTCTTGTTCCCTTCCCTGAGCTCCTGTGTTTGCATCTGGATCTGTATCTTGCTCCCTGGGCAAGGGAGCAGAGGCCCTGTGGGCTCAGCAGTAGCAAGAGAGCTGTTGTGATATGAAGCAGGAAAGGCCTGTGTGTGCCCAGGGTGGTTCTGGGGTTAGCTAAGTCTCTGCTGTGATCTTTACAGGCTTGATGAAGATGGCAAAGTCCTCACTCCAGAGGAGCTGCTTTACCGGGTGAGTGCTGCCCTGAGCCCACTCAGCCCAGCTCCTACTTGCAGGAAATTTCCTGTGGAGGCTGCTGGGGGGAGATGCTCGAGAATATCACAAACTTTCTCAGCTCCTCTGGTGCTAGCAGGTGGCACTGGTGAGGGTGGGAGCTCCAGAGAGGGCAGAGTATAGCTGTGTTGCTGAAATGGCTGCCCAGTGGTAACCACATCTTCCCTCCCTGCAGGCAGTTCAGGCTGTGAACATGACACACGATGCTGCACATGCACAGATGGACGTGAAGCTTCGTTCTCTCATCTGTGTTGGACTCAAGTGAGTCATCTGGCCATTGTGGGTGCAAGGAGCTTGGGAAGGGACACAATGGGCTTAAGGGCAGCAGTGGTTTCAATCTACCTTTGGCCACAGTGTCTTTTTCCCCCCTCTCACTGCAGCCACTGAGTGGGACTTGCTCCTTATTCACTGTGCTGGCCTGAATCCTAGCTGGAAGAAGTAGTTCCTTTTGCATGGAGTGGCTCACACAAGTTTACTGGGTTATCCTGTTCCCACTGGGGACAGGACTGGGGTCAAGGCTTGGGCTGAAAATAGACAATCCCAGAGGGATGTGGGTTCTTTCCCTGGTTTCAGCTGAGTAACATGCCTCTACCCCATTGCTGCAGTGAGCAGGTGCTGCATTTGTGGCTGGAGGTGCTGTGCTCAAGCCTGCAGACCGTGGAGAAGTGGTTCCATCCCTGGTCATTCCTGCGCAGTCCCGGCTGGGTGCAGATCAAATGTGAGCTGAGGTAAGTGTCCCTATGGGCAGGGTCTGGAATGGATTTCCTTCTCTGCAGGAGGTGGCCCTTGCTGTGGCTGGGTTTGGGCCCTCTCCAGTGTGTCACAGCATGGGCTGCCCAGAAATTTCCTACTGTGTGCTGAGGCAGCAGCAGCTCTCTAGATGGTTTAATACAAGGTACTGTGCCTGCCTGATCCAAGAGCAGAGCTTGGCTGCTGGGGACCTGTTGTGACAAGCATGTAACCTTTGCCTGGCAGTAACCTCCTGCTGTGTCCTGCAACTGCTCTGATGGAGAGACTGCCTTTTCCACCCTATGTCCTCTGCCAGCCACCGTAAGTCCAAGCAGGGAACAGGGAATGTGCTAGGAAGACAGTCGGACTGTCATTGGCTGAGAAGGACTCGGTCATCGACTGACTCCCTGGTTAAGCAAGGGAGTGATGTCAGGGGCTGGAAGCAGCTTTAGTGCCCGAGCTCACACAAAGCACATCAGTTGGAGACCAGGGCACACATCCATGGGTGTACTCCTGGTCTTCCTGCACTCTGCAAAGCCAGGTGAAGTCCCAGGGAGCTGCCATCACCACTGCTCCAGCCTGGTTGCTGCTGCCATTCTGGGAGAACTGGCTTTTGTCTGCACCATCAAGTTGCCTTTGGACCCAGTGGGAGCATCTTTATCCAGAGCAGGCCTGTGTGTACATACCACAGGGTTCTCCTTGCGCTGCTGCTGAATGGGAGGGGGCTCTCTCCCCCTCTGTGCTGCGTGTCCTGTGGCTGCTTTCTCACAGCATGGGGGCAGTGCCAGTTCAGCACAGCCGAAGGACTGAGTGGGACTGGTTCATGTCTTATGTCGTACTTGGCCAAGCCAGCAAGGGAGCTCCCTGTTCCAACTCCTTGCAGCACTTCTGCATGGGAGTCAGGACACTTCTCTTACTCCAGGGAGAGAGGCAGGGCTGCAGAAACTCTGAGGTGCTGCTGGCAGGGATCTGTTTTTTGGAGAGTGAACCTTCAACCCCCATTGCTAGCTGCGTGCAGCCCTTAGCCAGGCGTGTCTGCAGTGCCCCAGAGCCCAGGGCTGCCCCTGCCTCCCTGTGCTGCTGTACCAGGCTCTGTAGGGGCTGCACTTGAGTCACATCTTCAAGCTTCTCTTCCCAGCCTGGGCCTGGCAAGATGTGAAGCCCAGCGATGGGTAAATAGGGAATGAGTGACTGCTGCTGTCTTTTCAACACTATCCAACAAGGAATTTCATCCTTGTAAGCTTAGTAGCATGCCGGGACAAGCTGAGGAGACAGTGCATTGCTGTGCCTGGGGCAGCAGTTATGGGCACAGGCTGGGAGTGTGATCTGGGTGGGTGGGTATGTTTTACCATAGCTCTCTTCCATTTCCGTTGCAGGGTCCTCTGCAAATTTGCCTTCAGCCTCTCTCAGGACTGGGAGCTGCCAATAAAGAGGGAGGTAAGTAGGTGGCATCTCTCATTCTCTCACTCAACTAGGGGCTTTGCTTACTGCCTCCCTCTCCCAGCTTTGTCCTCTAGCCCATCCCCTGCCTCCTCTTGAGCCGGCACCAGAGGCTGTGGATGGGGCTGCTTGCCACTGCCCAGCTGGGGCAGAGGGAAATGGCAGGCCCCCCCTTCCCTGGTGCTCTCCAAACCGCAGGGCCTCTCCCTGTTTCAGCTGTGCAGAGGTGGGAAGTGCAAAGGCTGCAAAGTGCTGGAGATCTCTGTGTGCTTGGGCTCTGCCCGCAGACAAGACCTTCCCTTTTCTGGGTGTGGTGCACTCACCCAGGTCTCTGTCATCCTGCAGGAGAAGGAGAAGAAACCACTGAAGGAAGGAGTGCAGGACATGCTCGTGAAGCACCATCTCTTCAGCTGGGACATAGATGGGTGACCCCCACCCCACCCCATCCTGGGAAACCTTCTCGACTGCACACACTCCTCTCCCCCACCCCTGTCATGTCTCACCCCTTGCCCTCCCCCACCCCACTCACTTGTATCTGTGACAAAATCCCCCTCGGGAGGGGGCTGCCAGACCACCTGGGACAGATGGCAGCAGCGCCAAGAGGCCAAGCCGCCAACCCAAGGGAGGTGATGGTCGAGGGTAGTGCTGCAAAGGGACAAGTGTGTTCTGGCTACAAAAACCAAGTGCCCCGCTCCCAGCTTTCTGCATCTCTGCTATCCCCATCTTCTGCTTGCCTCAGCCCTGCCTCCCCACCAGAGCCTGGGGGAACAGCCTGGCCAGAGCACCTCGTGCCCCATGGACCAGCAGCTGTGTGGGTGTGTGAGCGTGGCTGTGGCTGTGGGGACAGCCCTTGCAGGGTGGCTTTGATGTGTGAAAGCTGGAGACGTTGGCACTTGGCACTGCAGGTGCATGTGGAGTTGGGCTGGTGAGAGACTCATTGCTGTAGAGGAGCAGAGAGAGCACATCCCCTCCCCATGCCAGCCAAGGGCTCCCCTCTGTGGGGGGGACACTTGGACAAGTTCCTTTGGCCTGGAGCCGGGGCTGAGAAGGGGGAACTGCCATCAGCATCATCCCACCTCCCCAGCACTGCTGTGTGGGGTGTTGACAAGAGTTGCCCAAGTTTACCAGCTTGTTACCACTGTAACAGCCTTAGGGGATGGTCCTTGTCTCCTCTGGGAGCAGACAAAAACCTCTCCCCTAAACAAGTGTTTCATGCTGTCATTTTAGTCTCTAGATGATTTTTACTGTTAACCAAAAAGCTGTAAATTTACTCCAGGAACGTGTATATTTTGGCACTGTTGTAGCTCAGGACAAGGTTTAAGTTGGAGCTGGCTCAGGGAGACTTAACTCATCCTCCTCGCCCTGCAGTGGCAGTGGGGACATGGGTCAGGAGTGGAGAATTGCTGCTTTGTGGTGGTGGCTCTGGATATGGAGTCTGTGACTTTCTACTGAAAGCGCTTGTCTGTGAGCACAAACTACTCATGGGATGACACTAGATTCTTACTTTCCTTTATTTGGTGGGTTTGTAAATAAAAACTGCATCTTGGGAGAGTGCTGGGCTTTGTCTTATTTTTTGACAGGGCCAGGACTCAGGTTTTTAATTTCTGCCACTTGAAAATGGCGACCCCATTTCTGCGCTGGGTTCTGCCAGCATCAAACTGAGGTCTCTGCTCAATCTGTGCTGGTACCAAGGGAGCTCTTTGCATCAGAGCAGCCCACGAGGTCAGGCAGCAGCCAGGGCAGAGGCAGTTCTGCTGCCAGCAGTGGCAGCCCTGCCTTGCGTCCGCACCACCAGCCCTCCCTGAAGTGCAGCCCTGCAGCAGAGCCCCAGAAAAGCAAGAAAGACTGAAAACTAGGTGTTGTAGGGACACTGCAGGAGGAGGGCTCTTAGGAAAGGGAGTGGGGCTGGCAGAAAGCAGGGCTGGGTAGGGGAGACAGCAGTGTTGTCTGTACAGGTGTCTCCAGAAAAAGCAGGTGAAGTCTTATCTGCAAAGTGGGACAGTAACAGGGCACAGGCCTTTGGGAGAACTCTGTTGAGAAGCCCAAGCTTTTGGGAGGGTGGAAGTTGCAGAGTCCGTACTGATGTCAAAGTGAGTCTTTTCATTTGGCATGTGGCTGTGGAAGAGGCAGTATCGCCTCACCACCAGCTGGGGTCCAGACCAGCCTGCTGGGCTGGGGGAGGCTGTAAAAGCTGCCCCTGTTCTAGTGTAAGACCTACTTCTGCTTGCAGGGTAGGTAATTTCCATACACTGAGGGAATCTCCCTGCAGCTGAGAAGGATGAGGCACCACCACTTAAGCTGCTTTTTTCACATTTGAGAAAGACCCAGAGGGATAACCCACCCTTAGCTGGAAAAGGCAGAGTGGCCCCAAGGCCTCCCACCAGCATAGCAGAGAAGTTTTTGAGCACGTGGCTGTTTGGAATTTTTTTAATAAAATGGATTTTTTTTTCAAATATTTGTAACTGAAAAAATAATTCAATTTAAAGATCGATTCTCTCCCCCATTAACTTGTCACTTTTATCCTTTTCCAGTTGAAAACTTGCTCTGGATCTGATGCCCCAACACCATCCAGTTCTGATGGTGCTGATCACCCCTCGCCGTTTGCTGCATAGTGGAAGAGGGAGAGTGCGTGCTAGTCAAATACACATTACAAACAAGTAGTGGTTACAGCAGAAAGATTCAGGATTACATTCAAGGTAGAGGCAGAACATCAGACTTCATTTTTCCCAATGGGTGCAAAAATGTATGTCCAGGGGAATACCTCTTCTGACAAAGAACTATTGAACTATTATTCAAACAAATAATAGTAAGAAAGCAGAGAACTGGGCAAGCCTGCTCTGGGCACTGCTTGGGGAAAAGACTTTCTAACATTTCCTGGGCTGAGGCACCATCTTCCCCTCTGCCCACAGGCACAGGGTTATCACTTGCTCTCCTGGCAGAAGCCCCTTGTGCGGAGAGGCTCTGGCAGGTCAGCTGGATTCCTCCAGAGATGAGGTCATGGTTCTGTATCGTCTGGGCTCCTTTTCAGCCCATCGGCCAATCCAAGTGTGTTGGGCAAAGTCAGGGTCACTAATTTCCTACAGTTTCACACCTGCAGGACAGGTGGATGGGTAAAGGTGAAAGGGGGCACCCGTATGCTCAGTCTTTTCACCAGCAACCCCAGGGGAGAGGTAAATTGGTAACAGGCCAGGACTGCAGCTGGAGCACTCCTACCTTCCTCTAGGAGCTCATTGCACTTTGATAATTTCATTCTTTATTTACTGGTTGCAGCTTTGTAATTATTTGTATGAAGGAAATCACACAGCTGTTTTTTGTGAGGGCTACTGCAACTGGGGGCTAAAAGAACCTCATTTTGCTTGAGAGTTTGACAAACAGGCAGCCTCACTTTTTCCCCTTAGCATTTCAGAGATCCTCCCAACCTCACCCATACTTGCCCTCCTAAGAAACCCCTTGCCTCCTGCACCCACCTGGTCCCACGGCTGGGCAGCCACCCTCGGGGGGAGCTGGTGGGAGCTCTGCAAGGCGATTCTAATGTACTCACTGCTCCCAGCCAGCACCAGGGCTGCACCAGGAGAGAATTCAGGGAGGGCTCAGGGGAGTGAAGGGGTGCCCACCAGTCTCTGTTATTCTGACTTTTAGGATGTGATGCTGTAGCTTGAGCAACAGAAAGCCTAGGGGGAAGGGGGACAGTGTCCTCCCCAGCCCAGACACTGAGGGAGGCAGATAAGAGGCTCTGACTTGCTTACAAGTCGGGGAGGGGGGGGAGAGGAGAGAGAAAGGGGCAGAAAGGAAGGAAGCTGCCAGCAGGCTCCCCCTGCAAATGATTAAGAAAGTGGCTCCCCATGCAGTTAACAAGCAAATAGGGCTCAGGAAAGCAGGAGTTTCTCCCAGCTCAAACAGACATGACTACAGCCAGCTGCCAGTTTAATGGCTGAGGGAGAGCACATCATGCAGGGCTGGCATTCACCTGCTCCTCCATGGAGCAGAAGTACCAACACTCCTGTGGCTCAGCCTCATGAAGAGGCCCATGTACCAAAGGTGCAGGGGAGCAGCATGTGGCTGCTCACAGCTACCCCTCCCCAGCAGGAAGCATTGCAGCCCAGTGAAAGGGAAAGATGGGACAGCATCCTCAAGCAGATATTGAGGATGGTGGCTGATCCTTTCATTGCCTGAGCAGGGTCAGTACCTCAGTGTGTATGATTTCAGAAGCTATGGCTTCCCCCACCTCACTGAGCCAGAGCAGCCTGGACCCAGCTTAGTGCCAAAGCTGGGACAGCTGTGCAGCGAGGTGGCTGCATGGGGCCACCTAAGCCATGTCCCACCTGCTCAGGGACATGTATGGCCATGAGCTACTACTAACAGAGGAATTTACCAGGAGTAACCGCACAAGAGTGAGCCACAGGCCTGGGTTTCCAACCCAGAACCCCGCACAGGGAATAGTATCATCATGGCTCTGGAGGGCTTTGGGTGCTTTTCCACCCACTCCTCATTCAGCAGTTACCCCGAGGCACCAACCCGGGGCCCTGCAGGGACACAGGGCACCAGCTCACACTAAGCTGCCATTTACTTTTGCCTTTTACCCCATGGGACAGGAGGAAAGGAAGAGCAGAGGTCAGCTGTCCAGTATTTGCTTTTAGGCCTGCACTTCTCCCCAGAAAGGGGCCCTCACAGTTGCACTACTGAGCCAGGACCTGTGCCATGCCATACAACCCCCCTTTTGCAGTGCCACTTCCCCTTTCTCACCTACTGGGTCTGACATCTATCCCCAGCTGCTTTTTTCCCCTGGGGCACCTGCTACAGTGAGGTACCAACACAGCAAAGGCAGGAGAACAGATTGCACGTGGCCCCCAATGATATGTTGCTTATTGCCAGCTGTGCCCCTTACCAGCTCCCCAGGGCACGCAGGCGCTTTCTTGTCCCTACTCCTGCCACAGCCTGACTGCCCTGCTCACCTGGGGATGTCACAAGTGCTGTGGAAGCTGGGGGCAATGGGGTGTGACTGACAGCGGTTTTAACATATAAAGACCTCATTTTAGCACCTTAAAAATCTGTTTTGCAGCCCAAGGTGAGTGAAGCAAGCAGGCAGTCAGGCCTCTGCAAAGCTCAGCAATATTTGGGAAACCAGCTTAGACATTACCAGGTTGGTGGGTCACCCTGGTTCCCCCTTTGGCTACATTTAGAAAAGGTGCCTGTTCTGCCGAGCTCCTCACACCCCTGAGGCAGATCAGACCCTCCTCTGACAGACAGCAGGTGGTGCAGAGGGCAGCCACTCCAGACCCCCAGCCAGCTCTCCTGCTTTTGTGTCCTGTTCCAGAGGTAGGATCCCCTTCCTCAGCCGTTAAGATCAACCGTTAAGACCAACCGTGCTGGGGCAGCACAACCCCCTTTATCTGCCAATCCCAGAAAGGTGCAGAGTGCTGCTTCTGGAAACAGCTCAGGCCCAGCTCTGTCCCACGTGAGGGAACTCATTCCTGGCTGCAATGCACTGCCATCACTGCTCCTGCCTGGAGGAGGAGGGGCTGCCGGCTCTGCTCTCACCTGGGCTGGGTCAGGCTGCATGGAGTGGGCAGGAGGCCACCAGCCCCACAGCTCTTGCAGCTTCTTCCCCCTGCAGCAGCAGTTCTCCCTGCCCTGGCCTGGCCCACTGCCGGCTTCATGCAGGAAGGACACTGTTAGGGGAGGAGTACAAATACTGGGACCTTGTTTGTTTTTTTTTGGTTGACTGGCCTCTTCCCCCTGCATGCCTGTGCCCTCCCACTCCCATTCCCTTCAGTCTCTGCTCACAGAATTACAAGCAAGAATCCCAGTGCAGCTGCAGATCGTGTCCATCAAGGAAGTCTGTGGAAAAGAGGCTGGGAGCTGCGGTGCTCAGAGGAGCCAGGCTCATGACAGGCCCCCCTGGCAGCTCCAGCCAGTCCATGCTGTCCAAGTTAGCCTCAGCCAGATCCAGGGTTATGCTCCCAGATGGCTCGTGAGCAAAGTGCAATTCCGAGGTGTCCATAGGTGAAGGCGGGTGGTCCAGGATGGCCGAGCTGCTCAGCATCTCACTGTGGAGGTCATCAATCAGGGACAGGGGCTCCGGCCCATCATGGCCTGCTGTCAGCAGTGGGAGGCCGGTGCTGCTCTCCAGGAAGTCCTCCAGCCGGCCCACGAGCACCGGCTGCCCCAAGGACACTGGCACCGCCAGCTCTGAGGAATGGTGGCTGCTGGGTGGTGGGGAGCAGGCCACAGGTGGTTCTTTCCCAGCTGGGGATGACTGATCCTTGAAGTCAGCAGAAATCTCTGTACAGGGAACAACCAGGCAGGCCAGGTGAGGAAAAGCCTGGCTGAACATCAGAAGGATCCCTCCCACCCACCAGGGCCACAGGAGCCCCCTGAGACTGAGCCATCACTGACCACCAGCGGGATAAGGAAACTCATCCTGTGCTTGCCTTGCTACAGGTAGTTTTCAGCCCACCCCTGAGGAATTCAGTCTCAGTCCAGTATCTCAGAAGCCATGTGCCCAGATCTGATGCAACAGAGCCACTGAGAATCACAGTCATACCAAATGTCTGACTGGCATCTCAGTGCCTTAATGACTACTGCCCATGCTAAAGGCACTGCAAGGGACAGTGGAGAAAAGACTGGGGCCATGACAGACTCTCCCCTCAGTGCTCTACAATCCCCAGACTCAGACCCAGAGACTATGGGAAATGCTGGCTTTGTCTCCTTACCTCCACTTTCGATGAGGATATCAAACAGGTCGTCCATCTGCTGGCTGGAACAGCCATTCTCCTGAGGAGAGTGAATGCAGGATTAGCTTCCTATTTACCAGGGGAGCTTCCACCTCCAGCAACACCCTTGGCTGCTGGTTCTCTCCAGGGATGGGGCTGTTATCTACCAAGAATGAGCACACAAAGCATGGCACCAGAGTCCTCCATAACCCCAGGCTGTTACTGGCTGGGAAAGTATGATCAGCAATTGGCAGTGAGTGGCTTGGAATTTTTACCTGCAGTTTAGGGTCTGCCCTAAACCCTCCAGAAGGAATTTAACTGGGAAGGTGCAGTTATGTCTCCATTTCCTATCAGTGGAAACTAAACAGCTTTTCATCTGCTCTCCAAGGAAACCAGAGAGAACAACTGATCTCACCTGGGCCTTTGGCTGTTTTTTCATGGCCTCTTCATAGCCTGGTGGTGGCTCTTTCACTGGGACCGAGGGAACAGGAAGAGCAGGTGGAGGAGTTCCAAAAAGCGGCGTGTGCTGTTGCTGCTCCAGGTCCATCTGGGATGGGGAAGGGGCAGCAGGAGAGCTGGGCTGTGATGAGGGCTGTTTAGAATGAAGGCAGAAGGGGTGATCAGGGAAAAGTCCACATCAACTCCTCTCTCACAGCTGCTTTGAGAGGCTATCATCACCCCTCGCTTCGTGAGTGCTGCACAGAGGTCTGCACGGATCTACTCTCAGCAGTCTGCCTTCTTCCCTGGACTCTGTGCACTATGCCCTGGCTGTAGGGAAGGAAGACAGATTTCCCCTCCAACTCGCAGCTGGAAATCTTTTGCTGATTTTTCTAATGCTAAAGCTGCCACACCACAAACCACTGCCTCGCTGCTCCTGGATGGGGAGAGCCCCATCTGTCCAAGTGGGGAAGTCCTCTAGCACTTTGGAGAGAGAGAGGGCACTTCCCTTGTGTGTTCAGCCTACTCAGTGCAATATATCCAGGGCCTGTCTTTTACCCACATCCCCCTGCAGTGCCTGCTTTGGGAACACAAGCCAGCCTCACTAGGCAGCAAGTTTCACAGCCCGATGCTGGGCGGAGAGCACCAGAGCACTCAGCAGCACCAGAGCTCCAAAGGAAACCCCAAGGGTTGCAGGAAGTGGTGCTTGTGACTCAGCTTTACCAGATGAATCAGCACACAATTGCCCATAAGAAAAGTTCAAACAAGGATCAGGCCTTTGCTTCTACAGCAGCTATGCATGACCCACACTGAAACGTGCACACCTGGAGCAGTGATCCCTGGGCAGCTGCTGAATGCCGCTTCCAACATGTGTAAGTGTTGATGCCCTTTCCCATCCTGTTTTCCCTGGAAAGCTGTTCATCTGTTCTGTGACCCACAGGTAGAGGAGGGATGCCAGGCCCCAGCTGGCAGAGCTGGTCTGGGGTCCACTCTCTTTCTGAGAGGGGTAGGAAACCATCACTGTGACACAGGCCACGGGGACGTGCTGGGACGGTACCTTTTTTGACACAGCAGGTGAGCCGGTTTTGCCAAAAGCACCAATTTTTAGGGACTGTTTATGGAAACCATTGGATAAGAAAGGCTGCAGGTTTGGAGGTGCCAAGAAAAAAAATTTGGTGTGGAGCAGCTGCCCCATGACCACCTGCAGACCTGGCTTCTGACCTTGCATAGAGGCAAAAGGATTGGGAGAGTCCCATGGATGCCTCTGCAACACACATGCTAAGGGACTGAGGAAAACAGGTGCCTTCCTTTACCTTCTGCACTTTCTCAAATGTCTCAAAGCAAACAAGGCACTCACCCTTTGCAAAGTAGATATCTCACTCTGACTACACTAGAAATGATTCCTGTCTTCAAATCCTTTTCAGGAATAGAGTCAGAAGTGATCCTCCAAGCTCTAAAAACTCTTCATAATCTTTCTATATCTTAATTACACGTTAGAGAGACAGCTAAGCAGGCTAGAAAGGGAGGAGGTGCACAGTAGATCCTCTTTACAGCCATCACCTGGAGAAGGGGTAAAGTCAGAGGTGCTCTCTTTCCTGAAGCAGCATTGCACTTCACAGAGAGGTAATTAACAGGCATGCTCAAGGCACGAGAATGGAAATGACAGCATGCTCAGCAGTATCAGAGGGTAAAATGTCACATCCCTTTTACCCCTCTGAGCTCACACAGCACTTTCAGCAGCAGGCACACTGCCCACACCACCCTCTCTCAATGCAGCAGCCACCTTTTCAGTTCAGCTGCACTCCTTCAGGAGTAAGGGACACCTCTATAAACCAAGGCTGCCCACTCTGGCCTCTCGTTGTTTTTAATCCACAAACGACACTTGTTTAAAACACCCACTGGTATCTGCCCTTGTGCTACAAATCCTGGCAGCAGGCAAACACAAACAAGGAAAAAAGTGAGCAGACAGCAAGCTACCTTGGATTGGTTTAGTCCTCTGGGCTGCTGCTGCTGCAGGGGCTGCTGGGGGGTGCTTGCAGGTGGCTGACAGGGCGCTTGGCTGGGAGTTTTAGCAGGTGATGATTGTATTCTCTGAAAAGGAAAGTGTATCCATAACTGGTTATTCCCCAGGCACAACATGGAGCAGGGCTCTTGTTTCTTGAAGGATTTATAAAGTTTGTTTTTCCCCACTCTTTATTCTTTAGAAAATTCAGTCAATCGTTCTGTTTCACTGAGCAGAGAAATCAGACTGGGGTGCGATTCAGACTCCTAAAAGAGGAGGTAGTACCAGTCTAAATCCCTGGGCTACCCATGACATGTCTTGAGGGCTGACAGACCTGACACAAGACCTGTGCCCTTCTGGAGCACAGCTGGAGTTCAGATTATATATTCTGGGGTATCAAGAGTGACAATGGATGCTGGTATTTGGACAGCTGCCTGGCATCTCACCTGCTACGCAGCAAACGTAGCCTGCTCAGTGTCCATCCCTGATGGCAGACACTGCCATTTGCTCTGCAGAAAGTGCAAGAAATGTACCAGCAGAGAATGAAAACCTTCTCTGATGTCATGGAAGATGCTGGGGTTTGACTTATGCTATAAAACCTGGGCATATTTATCCCTTCCTGGAAGAAACGCTTGGAACACTTCTGTTAAGTGGTGAGCTCGTGCCAGCAGGGGAATAGTAAATCACCTCTGATGAAAGGCTCTGTTAACACTGAAATACTGGCACGCATTAAAACAAAAAGCAGCCAAAAGGCAAACTGTCTGCTTCCAGGGTTTGATTTCAGCTCTTGGTAGATAAGGTGACCCATCTATCACTCCAGCTATGATCTCTACAGTAAAGGACAAGAGGTGAAATACACTCTGCTTGTTTTAGTACCATGGGCATAGTTGTTCTTTCAAAAACTAGTGAACTGTGGCAGCAAACCCTGTCATCCAAGCCTGAGATCCTGCCTGACAAAAGGCAGAACCATGTGTTTGGAAGAATGCTGAACAGCCTGTGATGCACACAGCCAATCGTGCATTGCTGTACACAGCTCATTGTCAAATTCCAGTCTTTTTTGCTGAAGATCTGCTTACACTGCTCTGTTTTACAAAGCCACTATACACTGGCCACCATAGCAAGCAACTCGGCCCTTTCAGTATTTTTACTGCACTGAATTTCCACCCTGTTAAGTAAGTTACCATCCTATGGTAACCTCAGCCATAGGAGTGGGAAGAGGAGAGAGGAATCCAACTGCCCGCAGGAGCGATGGGATCTGACCCTTGCGTACCTGCAAGGCCGGGCAGCTGCTCCCTGCCTTTCCGTGGGGTGAGAGGCCCTGCCTCTCGGCGCTCTGCTTGGTCACGGTGAGGACGATGTGGGTCCCTGTGGAGTCAGTGATGAGGGTGGGGGGAGGGGTGCCCTTGATGAGGTCGCTTAGGGCGCTCCCTTGCTGGCCAAGGAAAAGCCGCGGGCTGTGGGACTGGCACAACGGCTCTGCTTCCGCGGCTGGCACCTCCTGCTTCACCATCACGGCTTTCTTTGGCACTGGGCTTGGATTTGAAGTGTCCATTTGGCTAGCGGGTGGTGCAGGGCTGAATTGGTCTGTTTGGCCACTGGATTGCTTCGCAAACTGGCAACTCAGGAAACCATTTTCACTCTTGACCTGGGTGCCAAATGCTCCTGGCTTGGAGGCAAGGGCTGCTCCTTCTCCCGCAGCCGTTGGGGCCAGTTGTGACTGCTGAGAGCGCTTCTCCTGCTCCAGCTGTAGCCTAAGCATCTCAACCAGCTGCTGCTTCTGTTTCAGCATGCGGGTGAGTTCCTCGATTTGCTTGTCCTTCTCCTGCAGCATCTGGTCTTTGTCCCTAATTTCTGCATCTCTGCTGTTACCAGTGCTACACCGCTCTGACCTGGGTGCTGCATTTATGCTGCAGGAGGCAGACTTGGTGCTTTCTTCCTTCACCAGGAACTGCACTGGAGATGTCTGCAAGGTGAGCTGGGTGAGGGGTGAGGTCACCATCTCTCCAAAGGTATCTCCAGTGCCCGAGTTCTCATCCCCTGTGCTCATTTGTGAGCGCTCGGAAGGAGTTGGAGAAACAGGAGGAGTCGAGCCTGTGCTGCCAAACTTCATCACGCTGCCACCTGTGACTGTGGCCACAACTACTTCTGCTGGTGCAATGCCAGTGGTGACAAGGGCTGTCCCTGTGCTCAGCCTGGCAGCTGGGAAGGCTACCACCACTTCAGCAGCTTTTGTGAGGACAGCTGCTGTGCTGGATTTGGGAGCGGAGGTTGTTTGGCCGGCTGTACCGTTCTGCTCTTGGTAAGCTCTGAGACGCTCAATCAGGTCCGTCTTTGTGCCTGAGACAGGCAAGGCCCTCAACTTCAGCTCTTGCTTCAGCTCTGCTACCTGATGCAGGGGGGAAAAAAGAGTGCAACATTAAGAGAACACACACTCCTAACCAAACAACTATCAACAGCTACCAGAGCCACAAGACAAAGGACTAAACTGATCCTTCTGAAGGCCATCAAACCTGCACCTCGGGTACAGACTGCAGGGTAGCAATCCCAGCTGCTGTCACTAACTCCTGTCAGTCCACCTCAGCCCTGCTCTGGGACAGCAACATTGTTCAGTACTGCCCGCTGACAATGGCAAAAAAGGGGCTGTGCAGCTTCACAGGGCATTTACCTTCATCTCATCCAGGTTGGCAGGGAGAGGGCCAGGCTTGCCCACCGCAGCATTACTGTTTTGTCTCATCAACCCACTGGAACCAGAGGATCCTGAAGATGCACTGCTGACTGTGGCAGAGAGATTGCGCACGGCAGGGGCACCGGCACTACTCTGCTGCTCCCCTGGAGGCCTACAGGAAAATAAAAGACATAGACATCAAAACCAAGGTGGAAAGGCACTGGAGGCCCTCAGTGTCAACAATCATATAAGTTCAGAAACATCTGGGTCACTGCTGCTGCCCTAGACGTTAAAGCACACCGATGCCTTCACCTATATCCGTGCCCCTTGCTGTGCCAACCAATTCACTTCAGCTACTTTTGTCTGATTCATCTGGCACTGGCCCTTTTTGAGGCCCACTGTAACCTACAAGATTGAGTGTGTTACACCCAGTGGCCACACCTCACACCAAAAACATCACATCTCTGGCAACACTACTGGGGAACCAAGTGCTTCCTAACGGAGCTGCCACTGCGGACCCGTACTTTGGTGGGGCTGGCAGGATCGTCTGATAGTTGTAGTGCTGCTGCTGCTGGTTGAGGATCTGAAGCTGGAGAAAGAGCTGCTGCTGCTGCAGTATTTTGGCATAGGATGAATCCATGGGAGGAGCTCCCTTGTCCTGCTTTTGGTCCGGGGGAATATACTGATGATATTTAAGCTTCTTGACTTTCGGCTTCAACTCCTTGGCTTTTTTACTGCGCTGAGACTTCTCACTAGCAGACTTGGGCTGGCTTTGCTATTTAGAAGAAAAGGAGGAAGCAAGTAAGAATGGAAACACTGATATAACATAACACCCCATGTAAACCAGAACACACACTGGGATTTTCATTTTGAAATTCTCCAGTTCGTTGACCTGAGGGCCTTTCCATGCTTCTCTAACTCAGGCAACATTGTAGACACAGCACCGGCAGCAGCTTACACTGCACCATAATGCAGGTCAGCTTTCCCAGCACACCAGATCATTTGCTCATCCAGTGCAGACTCACCGACTCTAATTAGGGATAACACTGATTCAGATTGATTCAAAACATTTTGCATTCAGCACCCATTTTATAGAAGATGAATACATCATGGAGCAGAAAACCCTATTAAGTATGTTACAACTAGTGTCAGAGGAAGACACTAGTGAGAAGTAAGTTTCCTTCCTTTGCATCTGTTAATCTAATACTTCCAACTCCAAACCTGCTTCAGAGTAACCACCTTATCTTCCTTTAGACTACAACAATGAAGAAATCAGCCAAAATAGTACCTTAATGAGTGTTGGTGGGGGCTTGGCAGCAGTAAGAGCCACTCCATTGGTAAGACTAGGGGGCAGAAGAGGTGGAGGTGGCAGAGGCGGGGGTGGCTGCTCAGGTAGGAAAAGAGTCTCACTGGAGTCTGCACTAATCTGCAACTGGGATGAACCCTGCAGAGACAGAAAAAGACATAATGAGTACACTTATGAGGAGGGAAATAGATTAACAGAGTTCAGGAAGTGTCCACTTAGAGGGAAGGAGCACAGGCTTCAAATCGTTAATCAGACTCCTTTAACCCACTGCTTCAGTTGTCCCTAAGAAGCAGCACAACTTCCTAGGGCAGAAAAGGAACCAAAATCCCACACTTGTATCTCCCAGTTTTGCCTGCCAGCATCAGTTGCACAGAGGCTATATCACCAAGCAATGATCATCCCTTTCCCCACCTGACACCATGACAAGGGCTTCTGAATAGGCAGAGCATGTCACCAACACCCCACGGAGCCAAGACCCCATGTGAAATCTCACAAACTATACCTTTTAAGGATCCCTCAGTCTCACTTTTTAGGATCCTCAGCAGTGAAGCTCCAGGGCACTGCAGGAGGCCTCCACATTCTCACCTGAGCTAGTGATGTGCCAGTGGTGCTAGGGAGAGGCTCACAAATCCGAGAGTCCATCGGTGATGGGACAGACCCTTGGGACTCATGGCTGGCTGGCTGTTCCGGGGAGAGGGCATCACTGCTGTCCTCATCAAAGGAGGAATTGTCTGCAACCTTTGGGTAGTTCACCTGTCCAACTAAAAACACAAACATCAACATGTCTGTAAAACGGAACAAGAAATTACTTCACTTGACACGATGTTTCACAAAGACAATGATGTGATGGAGAGAGTTGTGCCTAAAGCACCAACTGAACACGAGAGAACAGAGCCCAAACTGCATCAGGTTTAAGTGTTCACATTCACCTCTGCTACCAGTAGAATAAAATGATGCAGACTGGGGGGAACCATTTCCCTTGCTTCTTAACCAGACAAGATCAGTAAGTATAAGAAGAGACACTTAACTCTGCCCAAACCCAGCTCTGTGGCATGGCACCAAAGAAGAAGATGGTCAGACAGTGTAAGGTTGAGTTATGGTTTCTTTGGTGTTCATCCTGTGTGTGGGAAGGTAGAATCTCTTGGATTCTTCTGTCTTGGAAGACAGAATCCCAAACTGTCCTCTAGTCTTACAAGCAAAAAGGGCTATGGATTAAGTGGTGATGGCCCTGATTGCTATTAACATTTTTGTCTATCTACATGCCCAGTAGGTAAATTCACGAGTGTACATGTGTAATGTACCAATGTTTTTTAGACTACATTTTCTCAAATTAATCCTGTTAAGAAGGAAAATACTATCATTTGCACCTCACTTAAAAACAACAGAAATCCAGAGATGTACTTTGCTTAGTCAGAAGGAAAGCACACCTCTTATTTATTATCCAGTTCACAAGCTCACCCTCCCTCAACTACTTCTTGTTCAACAGTGAAGCCATGCTCTCTCACAACATTGTCCTTTTCCTATTTTATGAAAAGTATTCCGTCTTGCTCACAGTTGTGTCCCATTTGTCTTTAAAGTAGTTGTGCATGTTTGAGGGGATGAATAACCACAGACACACAGACTGCTCAGTCTGGGGAGACAGGAAAGAGCACTGCTGAGGCAGTGGGAAGGCTATTCCTCAGCATTCCTTTCAGCCCTTGGAATGGCGCTGGTATGATTTACATCTGTTCTGGTTTATTTTTAAAGGGTTTGAATCCTCTGAAGTTTTTAAGTTCACAGACATCTTTTGTTTCATCACACCTGTTTATATCCTCTCTCCTCTCGCTGATCTGTGAAAGTCAGTGGGTTCTCCCTAACCAAGGTTGTTGACATGTTATAGGGAGAGAGAGATTTTTAAGGAGAGAATCTAGGGAATTCAATCTTCAACATTCTTTCAAGTCTTTACGGTATACAGTTCCTTCCACGTTATTCTGGGATATCCACACTCCCTGTAATTTAATGTTTCTGTAGCACTATCTGGGCCAGAGGGAGTTCTGCTTTTCAGAATCCTTGGGGCCGAAAGCCCATGATTCTGAGACAGGAAAACAAGGCCAGCCATGGCATTGCACTCTATTAGACAGGCAGGTGAACTGATAGTTAATCACAGCCACCTGTGGGAGATGCCCTCAGCACAGATCCTCCTCTGGCCTTACCAATAATAGCTTCCTTCAGGCTCGATTCCACAGGCAAGATGTTCTTCTCCACCAGCTCCATGGGGCCTGGCCTCTGCGCTATCTTCTCATTAAGGTCATCTGCCAGTCTGGCTCTCTTCAGCTTCAGCTGCTTAGCCTGCAAGGAGGGTTCAGCTGAGGTCTCTGTTTGGGGGAAAGTAAATAAAATGGCATAAATCCAGCAACGGTCAACCCATGCCCTTCAGCAGTATTTTAATTCTATTCAGAAAGGTAACTGTAGATAACAGTAGGTAACTGTATAGAAAAATGGTTGCAGATAACAATGGATAACTATGCACTATAAAGATACGTTAGATACTATGTATATTTAAGTTATCATGATTACTACAGTAGCCAGAATAAGACAACTTTACTGTTCTAAACTGATGTCACCCAATTCTCATTCATCTTTTCCTTTCCGGCTGTGTCCAAAGATGTGCTGCTCAGCAGCAGCAGCACAGCACTCCCTCTCTTATTAAAATAGATCAATCTGCCTCACTTCCTCCTGGATGTTTCACAGTGTCTTAGCTTAGTAGAAGAGCAATCCACGGTGATTCTATTTCATTGTTGGTCAGCTACACAAAACTGCACAATTTGAATTCACATACAGATTCTTCTGAGAATAATCTCCAAGCAAGCAGAGTTGAATCCCTCCCAAGGAATCATGCAACAGGCATGATCTTCTGCCCACTCCCAAGTGAAAGGAAGACTTGGGCGTCACAATAGAAAAGCTGTTAAAAATAGAAACCTGTTAAATAAGTAATTATGATAAAGTTTATTGTCAATGTTGTCATGTTCAGCACGTGCCGTACCTTCCAGAATGTGCATCCTAACCAGCTCTGATCTCTCCGGACGGGACCGGATTTTCCGTTTCAGATAGTCCTCTGTCTGTAGCAAAAACAGACAAGCAAGAACCAATTTCAGTTGATCAGACACAGGAGTGAGGTAATCTTGAATGGCACAAAGAAGAGAAACAACCATCTTTAGTCGTTACTGAGATCTAAATAAACACAGAATAGAGAAGGGGCCTATCTCCTGTGCCAGAGCACCGAGACAATGAGCTTACTCTAAAGATGACCTTCTACTGTAATCACCTCAGTCTAATTGCACAACATTGCTCCACAAACAGAAACTGGAAAGGACTTCTTCAAGAGCTAAAGTCCTCTTTTCCCCTTTTATGCACCACCACTAACTTGTGTCAGGGTGAAATTCATGACATTTCTTTTTACATTAAAGATGAATGCATTGGTTCCATTGTTCACAGCAAACACTTTCATGTACTGCTGGCATTTAGGACTGACTTGTGGTTTGGTCATACTCTTCAGTTGTTTAAAGATATGTTATTTGTTAAGCTCAAGACCCCCTTCAGCCCCTTGGTGGGCAGAAGCTAAATACGCATTTCACTTCCAGAGCTGCTTTTAGCTCTGTCTTTGGAGATGCATTACAGAGCAATGTACAGAGATGACCCTGATGGGCTGAACATGTTACCCTTTACACAGCCCAGGAATGGGAAGCTGGAAGCAGTGGGTAACAGACTGGGAAGTACTGGCCATCAGGATGGCCTTCAGAGAAAAAAAAAAATTAAAGTCAGTCAGAAAACTGCACCACAATTGGTCAATTGCCCACACCAAAATATTAATTTAATAAGAATGTTTCAGGAAAAAAGAGGAGAAATAAGCAAAAGCCTTTGGGTCACTGGTCTTAATGCAAGGTCCCCTGTTCCAATCCTTCCACAGTTTAAAGGGCTAATACTCCCTTACAGGTCTTAATCGCAGCTGTTCTTTTTTTTATGTTGCTTTCACTTTTAAAACAAAACTTAGCCTTGCAGTCATAACAGGTTTCATTCTGCTGGAGGCTAATCAGAAAAAAAATATCCCCAGAGGCCTTTTGAGGAACAGAAATCATCAAGAAACCCCCTAGTTAGCAAAGGTGCCGTATGAAATGTGATGCCTGGCTTCCTCTTTCCATAGAGCCAGAAGTCTCTGTAATTTCAGCATCACAAGATTTTTGAGGGATCCTCTCTGTTAAATTTTCAATTTCTAATGTCCTAGATACGCAATTGCATGTGCAGGTAACAGAAAACCTTTCCTCCAAGGTAGAACTGAGCTCAACATGGTAAGAGCACTTAAGAGCAAAACAGACACCATAAAAACAGAAATGTAAAGTGTATGGACAGCAGGAAAGAAGAGTATCAGTGACTTCCAGAAAGAAGACTCCAGGGAAAATCCAGACACCATATTCAATTGGTTTTAGGCACAACCAGTTCACTGAGGGTTAACACTGTGTGTTCACCACCACATGCAAGCTATAGAATATCCCACCCAATACACCTCTGACTATGCAGTGCTGTGTTACATCCAGAATATGAACAATTCCCTTCTACATCTCATTAACAGCTACCGGATGCCCAAAACATAAAAGACATACTATTCCTGACTTTCCGAAAACATTGAAGATTATATTGCATCTTACCCTGGCCCGCTCCAAACTCCTTCTTTGTTCATGAAATGCAGCTGGACTTTTCAGAGCTGTTGAGAGGAAAAACATTTGGAGAATGACTTAGAATGATGGAAGTTCTCTCACTTCACAACCCTTTCAGGCCAACGAAGTTAACAAATACACCACAGCAACTGCCTCCTGCATCTTCCAACACACTGGACCAGATCTCCAGCTGGCATAAAGCAGTGTGAGTTGACATACTCCATTTGACAGCACAGGAGACACAGGAACTGACCTGAAGTTTTTGTGGGCTGCTAGAGTCTAATACAGGTACACTTCTGGTCAAACTAACCATTGTTCACAAAGTTGGGTTCAAGAACATGAGTCAAAACCAGCCCCCCAACAAAAGTCTTTTTACAAGCTTCGACAGAGAGTAAGATATCCAGGACCCTTAAGAGAATGGTTCTGAAACACTGAAGAGATACATGAAATGGTTGGAAGGGTGGAGGACAATCCTAATGAACTGTAAATCCTCTTTACTATCTTTTGATGTCAAAGGAAGCTCCGAGTCTGCCCTTAATGTGCACCTGTGTTTTGCATACATGGAAGGGCTAGCTGCAAATTCTGCAGGTCCACAGGACATATATATTGCTCCATGTAAGAGAAACTATCGTGAGAACAGGAACAGTTGGACAGGAAAGCACATCTGTCTGCTGACAGAAAACCACAACTTGAGGAATTAACAGCAGCTCTCCATATAACAGACCTTCTCGCCCCCTTGGGCCCTGTATAAAACCAGAGCCAAAACGGATCATGTTTTAAGAAACTGATCCTCTGCTGTCCAGGACCACACTAACCCTGGAGGAATCTCTCACTCTGCCTGGCTCCTCTGGAGCACACAAACCTCACGTCCCACAGTAAGACCAGAGAAAGAGGGTGACAACGGTAAGTGTCACTAGCTCCTCACAGTTTCCCTGAAGCTGCAAGTAGCTTGTTTTTTTTTAAACAATCACATTGCAGTTTGTTTTGAGAACTAGCTGAAGGGGCCATAATAATTTCTTTTCATATTTCTGAAATACTCGCATTTTAAACTAAACCGAATAGTTAAAGAACTTTAGCTTTAAAGGTAAGTTGCACGTCTTTTAAAGACAGAAAACTAAACTCGTGCAGTTGGTAGCTCCAAAGTATTGTATCTAGGTCCTATGAAATATAATCTGCTCATGTTATTTTTAAATTAAGACCAATGATTAAGTATTTCTCAAATGTAACTTCATAATGAAATCTCAAAAGACTATTCAAAAATAAAAGCCCTTGCATAAATGCAAGGTAAGAAACTACTCCTAATGCATGTGTAGCCTTACAAACTCTTTCCTACAGAATGAAATGGAGTAGCCACAGATAAGGTGTTAGGACACATATGTTCTGTGTAATACAGACAGAGTCCCTCTAGGTTCACATCAATGGGCTAAAAAGTAGAATTTACTCCAAATGGCATGAATTCTGAACACACCACAGCATCATAGATGGAATTCAGACTACAGAAGTGAATGAAGAATAATCTGTAGAATAAATTAACAATAACTGAAAACTAACCATAGTGAGTACACAGACCCCCTACAACAATGGGGCAAATAGTTCCCGTTCAGATTAGTTTCATACAATCTGGTTATGGATAGAAATAACCAGAGAAAGTTGCACAAGCTGTGAAATGCACTTTGAGACAAACTAAAGAGATATGGTAGGGATATGGTTTTGCAATAACTAGAAAAATAATGCAAAAAACTTCACTGGCTAGTTGAGGCATCAACTAGGCCTTAGGCACAGCTGATGCAGGCAGTGAGGCTTCCTGGGCAGTCTGGCCATCACACTTCAGTGAAGAGCAAGAAACAAATAATACTCTTTTCCAGTCAAATGAACTGTTTGTGAATATGCATGTGCCTGAACTTAAACACACCTTTCGTTGTATGCGTATCACACAAGAGTGAAATAAAAGCTCGGGTACACCTGGGCAAAGATAGCATGCAATATATAAATCTGCATAAACATCTACCCTGGATACAAGTGAAGCAGGATTCATCTCGAGTCTTCAAAAGCTCTCTACCACCAGAATGTGCAAGCACGGCAGTAATTCTTTGCTCTCTCCCTCCTGCCTACCTCTGCTGTCAGTATGAGACAGCAGATGACCTTTAAGTGACATTTCCCTGACCACAGCTAATGGTCAGAAAAGTCAACTTCAGGAGTTCAGCTGGTGTCACAGGTAGTCCAGGAAAATTCTTGCAATACAGAAGAACAAAGCAAGAAAAGAATCCCTGAGCAGGAAAACAGAAAAACCCTCCCCTGAAACACATGCACATTAAATAGTAAGCAATGCAGAGCTGCTATAGGAACAATATGTAAAAAACAATTTCAGTCTGTCGTGACTAGTCCTCTGGAAACGTGCACTGAGATGTGGCTCTCTGGGCTGGCAACATGACAGAGGACTTCATATTCGAACTCTGAAAATGTCAAGAGGGCACAAATCCTTCACTGCTTCCCTCAGCAATCTAGGATAGGGCAGACATGTCATAAGAGGGTGTCTACTGTAAAATCATACTCCATTTGAAGTTAACTAAGCCTTGCACATTTTTCTGGCTTTAAAATGACTACTTAGCCCAGAGCTGTGGAGCAACTCAGTTAACTCGACTATAGCAAATGAAAGAAAAGGAAAAATATAATCCTTTGAAGAACTTTGAAGCAGTAAGGCTCTGGATAAGCTCCACAGGAAACCCATAGTGCAGATATGCCCCTTTTCCAGCTCCTACCACTGTCCTTCCTGGCCACCTAGCACTGATCCCTGAAAAACTACTCCTGTCCCCCATAACCTGTCTGACTTGCTCACCAAAGTGCTGCTTTATCCATTCTACCCAAAATTACCCAATAAAGCCATAACAGCTATTCTGGCTCATTCTGACAGTGCACCTAAATGAGTGGCTGAGCTCGTGGAGCAAATGCTTTGCTAACCAGGTGGGCACAGGGCAGCATTTTATCACTGAGACAGGATCCATTTCCATAGCTCTTGGTAGCTGAAGCAGCAGATACAACCACAGATGGTTAGGGATGAGGAAACTCCAATCACCTGATGCTTTCTGACTGCTCAGGCCGGATAAAATATACTAAACTATTCCTTACAGTAGTTTGTCTAACCTGATCTTGGGAGAGCTCTCATGAAAAAAATGCAATATTACTGCAGAGAAATTATCCTGGTGCATAGATGTCCTTACTATTTAAAAACTTTCTGAATGTCTTACATTTCCCTTCCTCTCTTTATTTCCTGCCTTACCTGCAATCATTACAGAGAACGATTTATTCTCTTCCTCTTTGCATCTATCCCTAGGTATTTGAAAACTTTGGTTCTCCTACAATCTTCCGTTATATAAAATGCCAAAGCCAGCTGATTCAGCCTCCTCTTACAGATAACACTATCCAGACCTTTGCTTGTTTACTCTCTTTTCGACTTCCACTTGATCTGCATTTTTCTCGAAGTATAGTGTCCAGAACTGGGTAGATATTCCAGCCTAGACTTTATCAGCTTTTATAGAGTTAAATGATTATTAAATAACACTTCTCAGTTATATGTTCCAGCCAGTTTGCCTTTTTTTGTGTGTACATAAAATGCATAATGTTCACTTGTGCTTGTTTCACAAACCATGAAAGGTCTCCAATCCTATTCTGCAGAGCTGCTACCTAGTGAGCCATTCTCCATCCTCAATTCATGCCACTGACTTAGCATTACAAAACGTAGACATTCTGCCTTTCTCTTTGGTTTTATCCCATATCCATTCTTGGCTTCTCCAAATACTGTGAGTCCCAATCCCGTCTTCCTCCCACCCTACTAACCTGCAAAGCTTAATAAACATGCAGACTGTTCCCTCGTTTACGTCAGATTACTGAAAATACTAATTCATGTCAAACACTGATCTTCTCCCTTCCCACTCCACCCAAAAGCCCTGCTTAGCACACCCTCCCAGTCTAACACCAAGCCTTTATTCCAGTACTGTTCCCTCACCAGTTGCATAGGCAGCTTCAATAGTCCCAGGTTGCTTCCAAGAACATCAGGCAAGCCTGTCTCAAGCACCTTACTAAATCCCAGAAGTGCAAAAACATATTTAACATCCTGACTTCCCTGGGAGGCAGTTCAACAAATATTTAGTCTGCTGGTAGGTCCAGATTAAGTAATGATCTTTTTCTCCCCTTTCCCATGTCCCACGTGTTTCTGCCTTGCCTTTGATGCTCCAACTGTACTTGCACTGCCCAGGGAGCCCTACTATGGAACTATCGCCATGAAGTAACTCCAGCACCTTCCCATGGCACTTGCCCCTCCCCAGAGTTACCTTGGTTTGAATCCTGGATCCAACTAACTAGCTAACTTTGAGTGAGCCCCTGATGAGAACAGTGCTCCTAGAGGCCTCGATGATCTCTTGAGGTCTTTTCCAACCTAGTTGATTCTGTCAAAAAAAACCACCAAACTTGCCAAACTACAACTGTAGTATTAGCTGTTGAGTTTTTGTTTCCCATTGCATGCAGAAAAGAAATAGTTGAGAATGCAGAAGTAACTTCTGCAATGCCCAATTTCAGTCAGGTGAACCTCCTGCCTGCCTTTCTGATTTTGTTTCTACATGACATGTATGTGGTGTTTTCAGCAGCGGCAAACTGCAGTTACACTTCTGCCCTGGTTCCTGTACCTAGGACTGGGACAAAGCATGCTAGCCCTCGGTTATGCTGACAAAACTGTTTGTGGACTCAGATCACAGCTGTTTTGAAAGAGTTATTTTAACCTGGACTGGTATGCTGGTGTAGAGCATGGCTCCACAAATAATAGTGTCAGCAAAGCTGAGCACAACTGCCCTGCCAGACCAAGTCAGAAATGAGAGGCTGGGTTTAAGGCCAGCACTGCAGCAGGAGCCCCCACGCTGCTGAACCACAGCCCCCACATCTTCAAGTCGTCCCATCCTCCACAGAAGAACAGCCTGGTTTTACAAATGGCCGAACAAGCACTAAAACTGGTTCAGTGACAGAAGGGACAATAGCATCACCAACGGGGTTTGGGACA